TTTATATATATATATAAATTTCATTGGCAAATTTCCATTGTGCCAATGTAACAATTGTAGACTATAATTCCTGGGTTGTCATCCATGTTCTTAAGAGCACACTTTCCTGAGTTATATGTTTGACTACTTCATCACGCTGATCATCACTCAATAAGTCGTTGAGTTACCGTATTTTCCGCACTATAAGGCGCACCGGATTATAAGGCACACCTTCAATGAACGGCTGATTTTAAAACTTTTTTCATATATAAGGCGCACCGCATTATAAGGCGTGTAGAATAGACGCTACAGTAGAGGCTGGAGTTACGTTATGCATCCACTAGATGGAGCTGCACTAAACGGAATGTCAACAAAACAGTCCGTCTCCAGTCGGCGAGGAGAGCCTTCCGCGACTGGGCCAGGGCGTGGCCGGACGATGATCACCCTTCTCCGTTCGCGCACAGCATGTTTGTGGAGAACGTAGTGCTAAATGACCTGCAGACGACCTGATTCTAGACGGTCGGTAGGTAGATAGGTCAGTCAAACTTCATTAATAGATCACAAACCAGCGTTCTGACAACTATCCCAGCATGCACCGTGCGCTTCTTCTTCTACCGGGGAAAATGAAGTCGGCGGCTGCTTGCCGTAGTTGCATGACCTGTTGTGGCTCAATATTGGGCCATATATAAGGCGCACCAGATTATAAGGCGCACTGTCGACTTTTGAGGACATTGAAGGTTTTTAGGTGCGCCTCATAGTGCGGAAAATACGGTATTTAAAATGTTTTCACATGTGATGCAGCAGAAGAAAACAAAAAGAAAAGCAGTGGGACTGTAGGACTGAGGAGCTGTTGCGGATGTAGACCAGGGGTTTGCAACTCCTGCCATTGACGGCCGGTATCCTGCAACGTTTGGATGCTCCTTCTGTCATTAACAAAAATGCATTCATTTTTGTTAATGAATGCATTTCATTAGTCTTGTGACCAATACTTTGTAAAAATTGCTGAGATACCAAGGCAGTAATTCAGCCTTTTGATTCAGGTGTGTTAGAGATGTGTTAGGATCCAAAAGTCACAGGACACCAGCCTTCGGGGACTGGAGAACGTTGTAGACAAACGAGGAGTTTGGTGGAGTGACACAAATCATGAATGAGTGCGACGTCCTACAGTTACCCCTGAGCCATACAAATCACAACTTGTATCAATGACATCACTTGTGTAACGACACCTACCTGGGACAGAGTGAGCGTTCTAAAACGTGTTTCTGCCAAAGGCTAAATGTTTGCAGGCATTTCCTCTCCAACAGCTTCCGACATTGGTTCATTGGTTCTTTCAATTTTTTTGGCAGCTTTTAACAATAAAAAACGTTCAAGATGATGGGGATTTGTGAGTTAAGACACCAGTTCACTACTTTGACTGTGTAAGCAAATATGCTAAACAAATGCTAGCTTAGGCACCATTATAAATAAGGTTGAAATTAAATACCGCAACTTGAGACTGAATCTCCTTATGTTCCCTATAGACAAACTTTGTCTACAGGGAATTAGAAAAGTAGCAGTTTTATCATTCTAATCAGAGGCAGAGCATTGAGGAGGACTAGTAAAACATAAAACAAAAATGTTGAACCTGAATCTGAAAACGTGAAAAACTGTACGTCATACCTCTAAGCTCTATCAAAGGCGTGTAAGTAGTTCTTTCAAACCACTCGATCTGTAGGCATACCACGGTGAAAGCAAATTTGGAAGCTTTTTGGCAAATGGAAACCAAGTCGAGAAACATTAAGAGAGTCGCATGAATATCTGGATGCAAATGAGAGGCGAGTGATCTGTTTCTGCTGGTGTCTGGGTACGTCAAGAGTCACTAGAGGCGCAGGAGTCTCTGCATCTCGAGACAGATAATGATAGATGAGGAAAGATACAAAGAGCACGGTGCGAAGTTCAAAGTCAGGTGAGATGGGGAACATATTGAGGAGAGACAGACAGAGACAGGGAGGTGAAGTCAGACAGTAGTATAATATGAGCGAGTGACAGGCGATGAGGACAAGTGTGGGAAAACAATGGAAAAAGGCATGAAGTCATGGAACGGAGTGGCTATTTGAAAAAAGCAGGAGAGGAGATAAGGGTAGGAAAACAAACTGAGGACTGGAAACAAGACTACACGACACGAAAGCCAAAAACGGTTGGGTTCAGTGTCGGAAAATAACAGGACGTTCATGAGAGACAAAGAACTTGCTTTACGCGACTGACCCGAGACAGCACATGAACAGTGGCAGCAGTAACATGAGCAGAGAGGAAGCCAATGGGGAGCCAGCGCTCCTTCGGCACATGGCCTCATCCTAACCATCAACAGACAATCACAAAGCAGGACAGAGAGAAAGCAGAGAACGTGAATCATGCAGCAAAAGGTCAAAGTTAGAAATCAAACATAAGCAGAAAAAAACTCCAGAGTGAAAGAAGCATATCAAAAAAAAAAAAAAGTCAGATGCGTTCAATTAAGAGGCAATAAGAGTTAGTGCGTGGGTGAGTGTTTGCATTTGTGTGAGTGAGAGAGACAAAGCAGGCGTAGGAGATCATTTGTGAGAATGTCAAACCGACACTGGAAAAAGGACTATAGAATCAAAATAAACGGAGCGCTCCGGCCTTGAGGTTTCACACGCTAAGACTCTGTGCAGCTCAGAAAAAATGTTTTTTTGGCCTAGATATTCATTCATTCCTAGAACATCCGACTGTCTCTGCATGGGAGACCTTCACACAGACCTCTCTTTAGGGAAACAAGGAAGTGTGACGTGCACCAGGTAGAGATATTAGTGACTGAATGCTGCCATGGGTGGGATTCTTCCACGATATACTCAGCGAAAACATAACTTGGGGAATTTCTTCTTTTTCAGTAAAAAACATTATTCTGGAATTTGGTTCGTTCTCTCTAATTTGTCGCTATTCTTTTCATTTTTGGGGAGGAGAGTGGAAAGTCAAAAAGGCAACAGTATTTTTTATTTTATTTTTTTTTACTTTTGTCTATATTAGGGTTCCTATACCTCGTCATGTCAAGATTACACACTTTTACAGACTTAAAAAACCCCCCAGAATTCTCAGTCCATTTTAAACCAAAGCCCCTTTAGGCTTAATTTCTTTTCTAGTGAGCTAAAAATCTTTTACTGAGCTGATTTTTACTCATCTAAAGCATAAAAATAAAGAGGAAGAAGACATTTTTTTCTATGTGACATATTCCTACAATTGTAAGCCTTTAAATAAGCAACTTGTATATAAAAATGCCTGAAATAAAAGTGGTGAGTGGATGGATGGACGAAGCAACCAACAGATTGATGATGGTAGGATGAATAGAGGAACAAACTTGATTTTTGCATGTTTAACTTGTATAATCAATCTCTGATAACTTGAATGCATGGAGGACAAACTAGATGAACAAAGTTGATGCAAGAACTGTAATGTGTATCCTTTCAATTTCTATTTCCAATGTTTCAGATGTTAAATGAGAGTTTCTAACACCTATGAATCAGCTGCGGATGAAATTACAAATTTGAAACTGGGAAACTGCAGAACTACTCACCGGGAGTTATCACCTGGACCTGCACTTCCACTCAACTCTGTGGCAAGTTCTAGTGTCTTTCAACAGCTCACAAACTCACCATAGGTCTTGATTTACCTTAACTGCCCTCATATGTCCCATTTCCTGCAGCATCAGACAGCTATAAACCCACCGTTTACAGAACACCGCTGTTTAAGCTATTTCGAAATGTGTGCCATTAAAAACGAAGGAAAAACTTCAATAAAAGAAGAGAAACAAAAACAATCGCCGAGTGCCGTTTCAGTCTTCTAAAGATTGTCCTTCTTACGAACTTTCTCTTTGGAAATTGTGCGCGTCGAGGAAAATTTTTTACAGAAAATCAATACTTCTGAAGAAAAAAAAACAACAAACATTTGTCAGTGATCTCAAGAAAAAAAGATAATAAAAATAACTTACGTGCTCAGTTTTATCAAAGCAAAATAGTGGGCCTTTCCTGTAGCGAGGACTGAGAGCCATTTCACAAGGATCCGGCCCAGCAGCTAAGAAGTCAAGATATAAGAAACCATAACAGCTAAAGAGTGATTCAGCAAAAAAAAAAAAAATCCATTCTCTTCATATGAAAAGCTGTGATTGCAGCAGACGTCGCTACAAACCAAATAACCTGAAAGAACATTAAATATTTAAAACATGGATTTTGAGCACATTGCTCAATATCTCCATGACGTGGCAGCCGTTTTCAACTCTATTGGGTTTTCCAAGAAGCTCCTTCCATAATTGAATGCAGGCTGGAGTGTTTGAAAGATCATCTTAGATTTGTTTGTAAGCTACTTGGCAGACTGATCCCTCGGCCATGTGCTTCACAGACAAAGACACAACGCAGGCCAATGGGAAGTTTGTGCTAATTTGGAAAAGTCAGTTGTGGCGGGAAATTATTGCTCTTATTACGGTCGCCGAGTCTGCTAATTCATTACTGCATCCAAACACGGCCGTCTTTGCACAAGTTTTTCTCAAACACCTGCCCACTGAATTAAATGCACACACACTCTGCCGTATAAAGTTTTTTTTTTCTTTTTTTTTCAAAGGATACACTGCTTTTCATCCTGCACTAACGGCCCCAATCCACATGACTGGCTGTTGTCTTGTTGTCTGTCGCTAATGATTAAGACCAGGTTTGTATTTGGCACCTTCTCAGCGAGGTATTGCCTAGAAAAAGAGGAGACACACAGAAGAGAGATGAGAGCACTTTTTTCAACTTAAGTCCAGGAAAGACACAGTCTCACTCAAACATCCTCACAGGAGATGTGGGAAGTGGAATATTTAACCCAAAACGGATACAGAGGAAGATGCAGGAATGGCGCCTTGCGGGACTAACTCTACTAGAACTGATTGCAACTCAAAACAACAACATCATGGATGAAAATAAACCTAGGATATGTTGTGTGACGCACTTTACCTGGTGGAGTTTGCACACTCAAATAAGCCTCCAAAGGAAGACTCATTGTTCTCAAAGAAGTACTGCGTTTGCTCTGTGATGCACACCTCCTTAGACATCGCATCCGACACTTGATCGTCCGTTTCAGCTGCCGGGTGATTTGAAAGCGTGTAGAGATTGGACTTTATTGGTATGATTAAAAAATTACAGCAATATAATCAACTTAGATAACAACACATATGTGCAGACAGACTTTCAATCAGCAGACTGAAGACGGGTCTGCACGAGTGAAGGAGTAAAGAAGAAACAAATAACGGCTGCAACGTCACAGATGTCAACAAATTTAATGTGTCAAAAGCTTTAAAATACTTTTTTTTTTGTTGCAGTGAGAACCTCACGCTAAATTTATAAAAATCCAACTCTTGAACTCGAGTATATTTGTTGAGCATGTGAAGAAGTCCATGTCACACCGTTCCTGTGCAAATTCTGATTCCTGTAGCCAAGATGTTATTTTCTATGGACAAATACGCTCCCTTTTCCTGAAACCAAAATTATGTTTGCAAAAAAAATAAAAAATAAAACAAAATAAAAACATGTGCTCCCTGCACATGTCTGCTTGTAAAATTCAGTCGAGACACATATTTTAAGTGGCAACAGGAAACTTACTTCAAAACTGTGTTTTATTAAACCAAAACTGGATCCACATGGCAGGAAAGAGAATTAATCCAACAAGGGAACATCTTCATCAGAAAACAGACGAGCCTGCTCTCCGGGCTTTGTTCTGAAGTCGTTTGCGATCTGTCATTTCTAATACTTCACTTGGCACCTCATGTATCTCTGCTTCGCATGTGCGACAACTGAATCTACCCCAAGGGGAGGGTTTGATTGAGTTTACAAAGTTTATTTTCAACAGCAAAAAAAAAAAAAAGTTTAAGGCCAATTCGTTCTTTTGTCCAAAAGCAATACTTGACCCTTTTACAAGCCAATTACGTCTGACGAGTGAGTTCTGAGCCATGGTCTAACTTAAAGCTTCAAAGCCCTTTTTAATGAACCAAAAACTCAGATTTAAAGTTAAGAAAGCATCTTAAAGATTAAATCAAACGCACTCACCTGCATCCAGAAAATTTGGGAATGTGACGCTGACCAGCAACTGCTGCACAATTGACCTAAATCCAAAGGCAAGAGTTCAAAAGACACAGAATATTAAGCAATCGAAATATCTCAACCAATTCAAAGGTGCATCTCAATCATTTATAATACAAATTACAGCTGTCACCAATTTAAAAGCATCACCAGAATAATGGGCTTCCTATCAAAATAGGACACACATATTTTAGGAATGGTGTCCATACAGATTAATTGGGAGAAAAAAAACCCCCAACTAATAAAAAATAAAATAAAAATTGGGTAGTTGTAGCTCATTCTAATTGCTGCTCCAAGAGTCCAGGCCCCACCAGGGGAAAAAAATCTGATTACTAACCCCTAAATCACCGCACTGACTATTTGTAAAATAATAAAGTTGGTTTGTAAGGCTCTGAATGCAGGCCTCAATACATCTCAATTGATGGTCAAGTATGAACCATATGGACCCCCCTCAGGTTATCAGAGACCTGTTTTGTGTTCCCAGGGCCAAATACAAACCAGGTGAGGCAGCATTTAGTTTCCATGGTCCTGAGCTACAGGATAAATCCCCTGAAAACATGAAATGAGCAGAAACTGATGGCTCCTTTAAATCAGGACTAAAAACATTTTTCATCAGTTTATTCTTACCGGCCTTGTTATTTGTTCATTATGTGCTTTTCATTGTTCTTTTGTGTTCTCCTTTGGCCTTACAGCTATACTTTTAATGCACTGCTTTAATATGGTTTAGTTAGTAATATCAAAATCAAAACTGAATTTGGGGGTTTTATTGGCTGGAAAGCCCATAGATATCAAAATTAACAGCTAAAGATAATAATAATAGAATAATTTCGTTCTATATGCAAGTTCCACTTCGTGAAATTCTACTTTTTGATTTGGTTATTTATTGCGATTTACCTGCAAATTTACAACAACATTTTGCACGCAAGTAAAAGTCGTCCAAACCAAACTGCAAGCTAGCAACAAAGTTGACTCAAAGGCCCAATTGCATCTTTTTTCTAATTAAAAACACATGAATGTGAGGCTTTGGCCGTGAATATAGCCGCACTGTCTGTGGCCTTCAAATTCAGCTTTACAGGACATATTGTAATACAAGCTGGTGATGACATCAAGACAGTGGGACGGAGCATAAATCAATGGAAGATTTTGTGGAATGTCAACCATCTTGGGAACAATTTATCTATGAAACAGATGCTATACTGTATGTGCATTTGGAGGAACAAATCCTTGGCTGCTTTTCATTAAGAACTAGACTGAAGGATTTACAATGTTGGCTTTAAGATGTTTGAATTTGTATGAAAAAAGGGGGACGGAGGGGAGGATGAATCTAATTGTATCCATATTAGGGAAAAATAAACTAAAAATGACTCACCAGGCTGCAGCTGTCGCCCACCATCCCAGATTCAATATATCTGCTATTGTGGGCTAGAAGAGGCACGGGGAAACAAATATCAAAAAACAGATAGTGAATGAAGAGCTTAACAAATCATCCTAGGCACATCCTGTTTATTTTCACAGTGGCTGCGCAGATTTACAAGGCACAAATACCAACAGGCCCTGCCAAAGAGTTTTATTTTCTTCTCTTCTCTGAGGAAATTAGAGCGCAGTTCTCCTGAACAGATGCGCGAGTAAATATGCAAACAAAGCACCGGCAAGAAAACAAAGTAGCCAATGGGTTGAGGGAAAGAGCCAACATGCTGCTTTGATTAGGGGTTAGCATGCGAGGGCCTTGTTTTGGAGAGTCGCCGCCGTACTCCTGCACTCCAGTTGATGGCAGGTTGAGTCATCTAGGAGTTTTTAAACCGACCGTGTTAGAGGCATCACCCGCCGCTGATGGGGCCCCTTTGATCACTAAATATGCCTTTCATCCTATCCTGATCAATCGAGTGTTTCATACACTCTAGATCAGGACGGGAAATTGCACATTTTCATCTGTCCATTGATGAGGACGGTAAACACTTTAATTTTTTTTTTTGTCTTTCCCGGGAATCAGCTTTTGTCTAAACCTTGAAGCACCCGGAGGAACCTCGTCTGTCGCTGTGATCTCTGCATGCAATCTGCGCCGTTTCACTCCCAATTTGCGCGTTCTGGAAGTGATGTAAAGCGGTACCTGTTTCTGCATTTCTCCATGTGTTACTCAAGCACATTAGACCACCTAATCTCGTTACTGTAACAGCAACTCCCACTCAAACACTTTTCACCATGTTTCTCCACTTCCACCCCCCCTTGCCCCTCCTCCCCTCATTTGCTATATCCAGATTTATGGCTCCCTGGCGACTGATGACCTTTGTGTGTGTGAGAGCGGGCAAATATAAGTTCAAATATAAGCTACGCTTACATTCGTCTCTCCGTTCATGCATGCAAATTAGTAAAAAAGAACATGTATGGATACGGAAAGGTGTGAACACGGCCCCGTGTGTTTTGCGTGGACGGTCTCTGGCTTGTGTAACTCACCACATAAATGGAGCGCAGGCCTGCAGCCGCTTTGCTCTCTCTCTTGGGCTCGCAGAGAGACTGGTAGTCGTAGGTGCTCTTGGCGGTGAACAGCGACGAGTTGACCAGAGTTCTCATGAGGTCAGGGTCGATGACACCAAAGAAACAGCCGATCTAAAGAGTTGGGAAGAGGGAGAAAGCGGTTTCCTTTCGGTATTCGCTTCGCTCTCGATGGAGAGTGCAGGGTTCATGGCACGGAGTTTTTTTTTTAAAAAGAAACGTGATTCCAAACAAAAACAGAGTAGAAGACTAAAAATTTGCCTCGGGCTCAGAGGCAAAGTCTCCCGGTGTGCGACTGCATGACCTCAAAACTTATAGGGGAAAACAATTTCAGAAACAAAGGCCAATTAAATTGTTTTGGAATGAGAAAAACACCTATAAAGTACACCTTGTAGAAAAACTCGACTTTACTGAGACCGAGAATTCACGATCTATGAACTTCTTCACATTTTACTTTCTTTTAAGGAAGGTTTTTTTTGCAAGTAAGAACTCCAGATTGTGGTGTGCAGGACGGAAATATTCTGCAGAGTTATCATCACTCTCTTGGATACTTCCTTGATGATCACTGAATTTACCCTGCCTGTCAGTTCAGTTGTTTAACAATTCTGTAGCTCCGTCATCCTCTTTCCACTTTAGGATGAAAAATATGAGAGACGTTCTAGGCCAAGGTTGCCGTCGAAAGAAGTATTGATCCTTTTTATTTCTACTTTGAGGCTCAGCACAACTTTGTCTTATGACGTACAATTCCAGTTCAAAAAAAAAAGAAGAAAAAAAAAGTGGAAGTTTGCAGTTCTGAGTAAATGTTAAAGCATTACAGCAATTTCCTTAAGACAATGTATATCCAGCATGGTTGAACAGGGATTTCACAGACACTAAAACCAGGATGACAGACTTCATTACAATATAGTGAAAACAGTCCATCAAGCAGCTGTAATCTCAGACGTGTGACATGACCGCGTGTTCGAAAGTGTTTAAGTACTCATGTATCCAGGTGGGAGCTCTCACATACAGTAAGTATCTTGTTGCACATGTGCTTAAGTGCATGTGTGAGCACTTTAGGAAATGCAAACTATCCTTTCCCTTCCACTTTGTGGGGTCACTGTTAACAAGCGGCCCCTCCACACAAGCTTTCCACTTTCTAGGCAAACGATGTATAAATCTTCCGATCCATAAGGTAATGAGAGCCTTCTACTCTTTCTCAGCGCAGCAACAGAAAATAATGAATTAACGATCTCAGCCTCGCCGGCTGCAGACTCCCAGAAGGTACTTAGGGGTATGAAAAGGAATGAACTGGGGAAAGAAAGTCATAAAGGGGGAAAGAAGTTTTGCTCCTCAAGGAAATATGATTGAGCGTGCACAGGCCTCTACAAACAAGGCTGCTGGCTTTTTAGTACGGCTGCCAAACATCAGAGGACAGCTGATTTATCCAACGGACACCCAGCCCTGATTAGTACAGAGTCAAAGCTGCATGGAGGAAAAAAACATTTTCTCAAATGACATCAGGGGTCCACTGTTGGCGTTTAGCACGAGAAAACAGGGGTGTTGTCTGTGTGTTTTCTGTGGTTGCGTTTGCGCGTGTGTGTGTGTCAGATGGGTCAAATTCCATTGAAGAGGCTTCAGGGGTACAAATGTTTGCATTTCGAAAGGCAAACTGGTGCTAAATGACATTTAGCTCAACTAAAAACAGAGGTTAAATTAGTACAGTTGTTGAAGACTAAAGTTGTTGATTTTTGTGGATGTCTTGATATAAAAATTGACCAAACTAAAAAATACAACCTGATGTGGACGTGAATTAAATTATTCGTGTCTATTTTAAATGGCCTATAAATAATCGATCTATCTAATAACGTAATAATAGTGATATTTACGCTGCAAAAACACAACATCTTACAAAGTATTTTTGGTGTAGCTTCTAGTACAAATGTCTTAGCACATTTGAAATGAGATAACTCTGCTACGATGTCAAGCAATTCTGAGTTAAAATACTAAGGCCCACCTGGTTAATATAGTCCTCCTGATTGGACATCACCAGGAATCCGCCGTCATCCAGAATGACACAGTCTATGTACTGCAATCACAGAATTGATTACGCAGACGCGCCACTGTTGTTTGAAACACTCCCAAAAAATAAAAGCCGCCCTTACCGGATCACCTTTCTTACAACCACAGATTTCATCTTTGCACTTTGAAGACAGAGAAACGGAAAAGGGTCAAACGTCGACGCCGAGCTATGCTGGAACGCTTTCATGCCGATAAACATCTACTTACATTCATCCTGTAAGTGATGTTGATGAAGCTCTCCATCCACGCAGAGATGTTCAACTTCACACCAACAACTGAGCAAAAAAAAAAAAAAAACAGAAAAAAGAAGAGAAATGATACAAAATCCAGACATCCTAGATCATAACCGGTCCCCCTGTGTCAACTTTACCTCTTTGAACCTGAAAATTAAATTTGGCTAAAGATCACAGGCGATGAGATGACTTGATGTGTGGTTTGTGTATGTGTGTTAGAGAGCGGGGAGAAACAGACGAATGAGGGGTGGCGGTTATGAAATAAGAGTGCGACTGTGGATGATAAAACTGTGGTTGCAAATGTCGGTGTGTAACAAGAGGCGCCGCTGTTAAGTAGAGGCTTAAAAAAAAAATCATGTTTAAACATTAGAATGCTGCTTACCAGCTGGTTTGAGCGTAATGTTGTGAATCTCGAGGTTTACTGCTCGGCTCACGAGGACATCCCTGTCACTTTCTGCACTTTCTGCGCGAAGGAGACAGGAAAGTTTATCATTTTTTAACAAGCATCTCTTTCGAAAGCCACCCTGATCATATAGTGCCTGATATTCGACAGGTTTACCGGTGCAGGGTGTTGGCGTAAAGATGTACACGTCGTTGTCCAAACTTCGCTTGTAGAAGCTCGACTCGTAGGTCTCTGCTTCTTCCTTCCAGTCCAGCCCGGAGCTGTTGGACATGCGAGCACACGATGAAATCCAAATTCTGCTTTTTTTTAAAAATTATTTAAATTTTATGTTCTTGCAATCCCGTTGCAGTTAATTTACGTTACGTAGTACACAGTAGTACCTTCAGTTATTCATGAATTCTTTAAGACGATATGCTTTTAATTTTCTAAACTTTAGTTCAAGAAATTTTGGTAAGAAGAGAAAATGCCTTTACCTATGACTACTTTGTGAATAAGAAAACACATTTAAAAGCTGATGATGTTGAAGTTTTCCTGACTTATTAGTCAGGGCACAGAAAAATCAGCATCAAAATATAAACACTTTACAGCAACATCAAAAGATTCAGGAATTCACCTTCACACAGGTGCTATATTAACCTACTGTCATTCAGAAATGTCAATCAACTGGAAAAAAAAAAAAGTGTTTGTGAATCTTATTTCCTATATACCTTTTCGGGAAGACGCGAGTGATTCCTCCGTCAGTCGCAACAAATCTGGCAGTAACACCCTGCCTGACAAGCAGGGAAAATGCAGCTATAAGAACATGGTAACAAAAACCTGGAATATGTTTTATGCATGCCTGACATTTACTGGTGATGTTGAAATATTCAAACCATCTGTATCGCCAAACAGCAAATACGACCGCTTTTTACTCACTGCAACTCATTCTGCTTCCAGATCTTGATCAGATCAGAGGTGATGCCGGCATCAAGGAGAAGCCGGTTTACAAGCTCCACATTACCTAAGCGGGGGGGGGGGGGGAAGTATATTACTTGAAATGACTGAAGAGTAATTACAGATATTGGAAAAAATGATGACATGGATTAATAAATAAATAAATAAATAAAGAGTGAGCTTTAAACAGAACACAAACATTTTCTGCAATTTCCAGGCAACCAAAATAATTAAACCTCAGGACTAAAAACACCCAAAGGCTCAAAAGAGAGCAAAGTTACACGGGGGAGGGAAAACCCCCAAAAACTTTGCAATTCAAAATTCTGTAGTGTAGGTGGTGAAGTGGTGCAGGTGTAAAGAATACTTTTGCAGACATCCAACAAGACCACATGACAAACATAAGAGGCGATAAAAGGGATTGCCCCTTTTTTGGCCGCTCCTGGCTCTTTGAACCCACCACCGACCCGCTCCAGTCCATAAACGTCAGGGTTCGCCGATACACCTCCGCCGCCGCCACCTCCCCCAGTCTTTATGGCACGCCTCACACATCAGACAGAACAGCTGGTGTAACACTTTGGTCCCCTCCGAGCCCACCATCCAGTGGTTTTCATTAGGGATTCTTTATTGAAGGCAGCCCAGGAATTCCTAATGTACTTCTTCGCCACTGCAGTGGCTTAACCGCGTAAAGCGTGTAACGATTCCTGAGCCGCCAATCCTCCACATGGGCCGTGCTCCTCTCCCTCCCTTGTGGTTCTCTGTGGACTCCATTAAACTAGCAGCTAATAACGGTGGAGGTAATAATTCAACTGGGTGAAAAGTTTTATTGGATTGATCATGTTGAGATGTTTGAAGTAAGTCCTTAAATGCAAACCATCAAATTAAACAATGGAACGCAATAAAAGAGCCCTTTTATAAATGCCCGGGGAGCGTTTTGCTTTGCTCAATGCGCCAACAAATGGGTAATTCATATCAATGAGAGTATGCCAGAGAGGGTAAGGATGGTAATGCGTTGGTCAGATGTCACGGGGAAGGTCCGTCGGACCTGATTTGTGTTTTATTGCTCTGCTCGCACTCTGGGCTGCATGTGTCCTGCTCTTTTTCACAAACACACAGTAATTGGATGAGGTCGAGCGGCTACAGGAGGGGTGTGGGAGGCATATAACCGGTGGATGGCGTGTGTGTGAGCGAGAAAGCCTGCGTGTGTGTCACAGCTAAGCCGATGTGCCTCACACATGTGCAGCCAGGCATGTGATGGTCAAATCTTTGGAGTTAGCATCAAATAGGTAACATGAAGGGAAGGGGGCGGGGAGGGGGGTTTTCCACATTACAAAGCTTTGCCAGGTCATGCACACCAAACCATCCGGCCAAAGCTCAGTGGAATGACAGATTTGGGAGCATGGTCACTTGGAGAACTCGCATTAAGTGTTTACTGCTGAGAGTAAGATGGCAGGGATTTATTCGCGTCGCTAAAGCAAACGTGGCAAAGATAAATTCCAAAAGTTTTGGTCACACCATTTCCCATTTTATCTTGTTATAAGCAACATATCGAGTCTTTAGTGCAATTTTATGTGGGGAAATGTCACAAAATGGCACATCACTGTGAAATGACAGAAAATGGAATATGTTTAGAAAAAAAAACATATGCATAAACATCTGAAAATTATTTCAAGCAATTGCTTTCATCAGACATCAACAACTCAGGTGGACAAATCCACAAATCTGGCCTTTGAAGAAGAGTAAGAACAAACTGATTGGTGAATTCAAATCCAGTCTCACGCCATGTAGGGCAGATGGCAAATGTGGAAGAAGGTGATGAAACTATAAACTTTTTGGTTTACTTCCCAAAAGTGTGGGATGACCAAAAAAAAATAAATCTTCACATAATACTCGACATGACTGGTATTTGCAAAGTGGCCAGTCCAGGAGCAGCATTCATTTTCCTTGGCACTGACCGACTGCATTCCCAAGAACAGAGATAAGGAAGACCGTAGATGTTGCCAAGGCAGTCTCCACTGTGTGTATTTATGCAGATTAAACATATATTTGGCGTTTAAACTATTAAAATAGACAGTTGTAAAGGTTTTCATAGGGATTGTGGTCCCCGGCAACCACAAATACTCAAGTCTTTGGGAAGGCTTCTTTATAGTATCTCTCCATCCAATCTGACAGAGCTTCAACAACTTTGAAAAGAGGATTGAAAAAATATGTGATAACTTAGATGCAGAAAGCTGGTGCTGCAACGATTGCAACAAAAAGAGAGCCTACAAAAGTTGGACACGTCTCGATCGGCAGTGTGTCCCTCGCTGTGTGGGCGAGGGCTATGACTGACGCTTCGATGATGTCGTTTACTACATTTTGTTGGTCTATGCTTGTTGACGTTGCACAATAAAGTGTGAAAAGGCTTCCTCGTGCACTGCTGAAAAGAGCATGATTGCACTTACACATAGGGTTGTTTGGAGTCTTTGTGTCTATATAATTGTTGAAGTCCATCAGGTACTCTGTGTTGTTCGTGTTCTTGTCAGGCGGCTTCAAGTCTTTGCAGTACATCCTGAGGAAAACAGAATCAAAGGTGTAGGGTATACTCAGTCAAAGCAGTCCAGTCTGGAGTGAAAGTAGGATTTAGATGTGTTTCATGTAAACATACCTTGGTGCAATAAATGTATACCCGTACTCATCAAACTTGTCTGCAAGCAGGCTCTCAGAAACTAGAGATAAGTGAAGAAATATCACTAATTCAGTTAGGTTGGTATACAGCTGTTGCGATGACATCATTGTGAACTTGATACATTTTTAACAATCCTTTGGCAGTGAGCAGAAATCACATGTTTTGGTAAAGAGGCATTTGAAGAGCAACTCCACTAACATTTAAACAAAAACACATATGAGATTTTGGATGACGAAATTTTATTCCAACCTGCCCATCAGTTCATTTCCCAAAGCTGAAGTTACGCAATTATATCTTGCAATGTTTTTCAAAGCTTCATAAAAATCTCCATTATTTATTGGAATAATGAAGACGACATGAAACCAGCAGCCCGCTGCAATGGTTACAGAAACATTTTGCATTTTATTGAAATGTATTTAGTGCTCTGCTTTTGATAAGCCCTGCATGTTTCTGTGCATAGTCAAACTTTACTTCAATACTTTCTAAATAGTTTGCCTTTTGGATAAAAGCGTGTTTATATTTTGAGAAATGTTGTGCAGCTTTTCATGAAGCTATACTTTCAGTTTTGTGTAATGTTTGGACTCAGGAAAAGTATTTTGACAGCCACCAATTTAAACTGATTTTCTGCTCATTCCCTGCTGTTCAGAAACGTGACGAGGCTTTTATTAATACCATTTACCATCAGAATGTCATTTAAAGTTATTTTGGTTTGATTAGGGGGGGGGGTCACAATTTGTAATTTTTTGTTAGAATCAGAAAATTACAAATTTTCTGATTCTAACAAGAAATTGTTAGAATCAGAAACAATTTCTGATTCTAACAATCAGAAATTGTTAGAATCAATTTCTGATGGATTCTAATCAGAAATTAGAATCCTAATTCTAATTAGGATTCTAATTATATGCATAAACATCTGAAAATTATTTCAAGCAATTGAAATAATTTTCAATTGCTCGTGCACTTGAAAATTGCACAGGGTGGCCACAGGGTGGCCTCAGGGTGAAACCACAGAGGCCAAAACAAATAAACACGGGGATTGAGATTTCAAGAAATCTAGTTAACTTGAATTATTTGTAAGGTCTTAACAGTTTCTCTCATTCAAATGTCATTCTGTAAAAATAAATAAACAGTTTTATTTACATGGGTACAAAATGCTTTGTTTATAAGGCAGTTATAAGGGAGAAAATAGTGACGCCTTTGTATGAAAGGTATTAAATCTGTAATGATGAGCATCTGCAGTTTGGGAGGCTTATTGGATTTAAGAAAAATAAAAAAACCAACATAATATATTTTATCAATCATATAATAAAAATTGGGACAAATAAGTGCACAATTTGAGCAAAGTTAATCGATTAAAAAGCTAAAAAAAAATAAATAAATAAACATAAGATGATAAAATAAGGTGACAGGGCAAAGATTGGGAGAAGTAAAAAGAAAGGATACTTGCCATCTTTCCCTGGAGTAGAAATAATCCCAGAGGAGAGAAGGCGAGCAAACACGAGGATCCCCCAGGGAGGTGACGACGAGAAGGAAAAGAAAGGGAGGGGAGAAAGACAGGGTGAAACCACAGAGGTCAAAGGTGACAATATTTTATTCACAGAGCGAGTCCTGAATAGAAATATTGCATTGCAAGCAGAAGATTTCAGGTCTTTGGATGCAGACGGCGCTGATGGGGAACACACACAGACAGGCTTATACTGCGGTCAGAGGACGTGTTTCAGAACTCGGATTAGCATCTTTTTGATGATCTGGTCAATCTCAGGAGTTACCAAACTCGCGTGAAGGATTTACTTTACGCCATAATCAAATGGAAACATGCACCGCAGTTCACAACCTAAGTGTTTTCAAAGCACGCTGCACACGATTATTTCATAAACTCTCGTGGCGACATCGTCGTCTTCGGTCGTCATGATTGGATCATTTCATTGCAGGCCGTCACTCAGTAATTCAGGAAAAAAAAATGATAAATGGTGGTGAGATATTAGGAATGAGACAAATAATGTGCACTCTCGATACCAAATAATAAGGTGGGAGGAAGAAGATGCTTTTATTTTTGTTTTTTAAGCATTTTGTGCAACTAAAAATCCAAAAAGTGAGACAAATTTGTCCTCAACCCCCCTCCTCGGTGTCTACTTCATGTTTCGGTAGTTGGAATATGCTTCAGAGATTTGGGACGACACACTTATGTTTTTCTTCTCCCTTACAATTATTTTGTATAAATTTTTTTATATAATTCAAAGAAGTGTCCGCAATGTGACAAAGGGTCAGAAATTCAAGGGTGCAGAACAGAAGGGAATCGGCATACGACATTTCTTCTGGTTCAATTGAGTTGCGATAAAGTTTTATTGTCAAAAAAAAAAATGAATAAAACAAAAATATGAGCCAAGCTTCAGTTTCAGATATGCTTCAAAGCCTTATGCGCTCTGGAGGGTTTTGACTCAACGCCCACAAATACGAAAATTGATGACTCTGCATTTAGAGGGACAAACAGAACAGATCAAGCTTAGTGTGTAAAGAAGAGTCCTGCTTTTCATTAGGAGTAATTTACCAAAGTTGTAAAACATAAAATGAGTCAAAAAGGAGAAACTGGAGAAATCTCCAATTTATACTCTGGGTACAGACTCACGGCTTTCTCCTTTATGGCTTCACCTTTAAATAATGCAAACATCCTGTTCGTCTGTTCTTGCTGCTACAGTGGGCCGGTGCCAAAACCACATCTGAGGGCCATTGGAACAGTCAAAGCAGGTGGGGGAGTTAATACATACATGCGCTCACACACACACACACACACACACACACACACACACAGACAGACAGAGACACAAACCCGCTGTCTGCGAAAACACGGGTGGGATGCATTGCATGCAAAGAGCTGTCTCTGGGTGAATTAATCTCGCTTGATTCATCGTGACAAAGTTGTCGTTAACTTGGGGTGTGTGGGGGGGTTGGGGGGGGTACAAACGGAGAACAAAATGCTTCGGTGTTTGTGAGTCTGCAAATTTACATCCAAAGTGTGTGGGTGATGAGAGAGAGACGAGACGAGACAAGGATGGCTGTGGGGAAAAGTACAGAAGGGGGATACTTGCCCAAAAATGCTGCGGAGGTTCCAAAACAGCAGGAAGGGTTAGGAGTTCAGAACAAGAGGTTAAAAGATTGAGAAGAGAAAGGAGGGAATTGGAAAGAGACAAGAAAACAGGGTTACACAATATTTTATTCAAATGCGCATTGAATAAGAATATTGTACGCAGAAGTTTGAAACCAAAAAGAAAAGAAAAGAAAAAGGCAACAACTTTACAGTACATGTGGGAAAAGTTGTAACTACAGGTAAATTACATTTCAATGGAAACTAATTAAAATGTCTCCAAAAAGCTACTTATTAATTCAAAAAGTGACACTCATTTAAGAACCGATTACAAATTTTGGTGCTATTTATTTTCATTTGGATCTTTATGTCTTACAGGTAGCCCAAATTTCTGCCCTTGAGAAAAATGTAAGTTTACAGAAGACCAATAATAGTACTAATAATAATAATAATAATAATAATAATAATAATAATAATAATAATACATAGGGTAATTTTCTAAATAAGCCAGTTTTGTATCCAAGCATAATAATGGTGTAGTACAGGGCAAACATTGAGGAGCAATGAAGAAGAAGAAGTAGTAAAAAGTTTAGAGGAGATTCATAAAAAAAAGAAAACACACAAAACCTCTCAATATAACAATTTGTAAAATTTATATAACTTAAAGGGTTCACTTTGTAAATTAAATCACCATGGCATGTTAACTTTTTGATGACATTTTAATGTATAGAGATGTATTTTGTTAAAAACATTTTCCTTTCTTCACCAAAAAATAATATTTGCATCATTTCCCCAACATAAAACGCCGTGGAAACTCACTTGGAAAGCCTGAGGGAACATAAACTCCGTACTTATTGCTTTAAGATAGACTGACCTAAAGAGGAAAAGTCTCAATTTTCACAAATCAGTCAAGTTAAAACATAAATTGGTGCCATTCAGAGGGTGTAAAATAGACAGCTAAATTGTTTTTACACTCATTTTCCAGGTTGCACTTTAATAATGGAAAAGTGAATCTCAGATGTTTGAAGTTCTTTAAAGGCCTTCCAAGTCTTTCAGCCTGGTTGCAACTTTATTTAATAAAGCTGGCAGAAACAAAACATGATGAAATGTTTTGCGGTAGATGGAGCAGCTTCAAGTGAGCTCGAAGCATCTGCCAACTGATTTTTTTATTTTTATTTTTTTTTTGGAGCACACACTGGGCACCTAAAGTTAATTTTTTTCCAAAACAGCTGGAAACATTGCAAGGTTTGAGAAATGCATGCAAATTGAAATGTAAGATCGTGGATGCAAAATTTAATGATCCAAAAAAAAGAAAAGAAAAACAAAATAGAGCTCAACAAAGGCCAGTTGCAGCTTAATCCAAAAATACAGAAATACACGCCACATGGAAGAAATCAAAACATTGAGTAATACTTTAAGCTTTTCTACACAGAAAGATGGACCTTTAAGAGAAGTTGCACATAAAAATCAAAACTATGCACATTATTTTAGTCAAAAAGACTGACCATAACATAATTATTTTCTAATGAACCTCCACTTCCAAAGAAAAGAACTGAGGAAACGTCTGTCGTCCCATTCATTCACAGCTGTTAGGGAGGGGATGCTGGGAAACTGCTGATTTGTAAACAATCATACATGGCAAAGACTAATCCATGAGCTGCTATTAAAGAGGCATATAAGTGCTACAGAAAAGAATGGTTTTCTTATAATTTACGCAATTACGACTGAAGATTTTTGAAAATGATGCGCATGTTTTAGACGCTGCCGTTTTAATAGCAAGCATCTTCACCTGTGCGATGTCAGGTGACTTTGTTCAATGCGCCGTTTTGTTTATTCTAATGAACAACATGTTAGGCAAAGACTACAAGCTGGCATGGTGCGGGATGGGTTTCTACTTGGCGGATTAATTCAAATCAGTTCCAAAGATGTGCATCAGATGGTGCCATGAAACCGGAAGCTACGGGCTCAGTAAGCCTTTTTCAGGAAGTTGTCTCAGTTGAGACAAAACCTGTCTGTTCTCTGCAACACGAACAGAAGTGGGATCACTCTCTGTTTAGATGTTATCTCGTCGGATATTTGTGATCCTCCTTAACTATGAAATTCCAAAGAAAGGAAAAAGTATTAAAAAAGATTAATACATTTTGAACCACATTACAGTTTCCATTTTTTTTTTATATTTCAGTTTGAAAATAAAAAATACTAGGATTAAAAAACAAAGAAAAAAGGGTGTGCAAGGACAAATATGTACCGTTTTTGAGTTTTTCCACTCCTCTCGCTCACGTAGAAGTGATAAAGTCTTTTTTTTCCACACATCTAGACATCGTTTTTTGATGATTCAGACTTGACAATCAGAGGTGAAGTACATATTTACACCATTTCTATTTGCAAACACTAATAGGGATTTTTTCCAGGAGGATCCCCCCTCATTTGTGTCCAATCCTGTTGATTAGGATATACAAAGGAGCTGTGCTTATAGGTGCATGAAGAAGTATCACATGCTATACAGCTGGATTTGTTTATGTGCATGCAGTTTTCTGAATTTTAGTGTACACAAGGCTTCGGGAAGGAATCCAAGCAACTCTTAGGACATGAGGCCCCTGGAAAATACTCGAGCCAAATTCCATACTTTTCCAGACGTCGTAGGAACTGCGTTATGTGTAGAAGGGGACAGGAGAGATCTCTGCCCTGTTGCTTCCAGATAAAAGAAAAAAAATACAACAACTTCCAACTCCATCACAGATGAGGGCATGTTTTGTTTCAGAAATACTAGTAACAACTGTTACAGCGTGGTGTAGGTGTATGTATAGGGCAGTCATGTTTTTTTTTTTTCCAAAGCTCATTTATTGATGGACAGAATCCATGACAGCACTTAACTCCCACCAAGTACCGTTTATCTAACCTCTGTAAACATAAGTGTAACAATACAAGAGGCAGGGTTTCAAGCTGTGACGTGAACGTCAACTTACATTTTGCCTGGGTGATCGTGTCGCCTATGGTTGCACGGATGTAGTGCATGCTGTAGTTTGGCAGGACCAGGGCCAGGCTGGGACAAAGCGAAAACGGGAGAAAGGCACCACTGTTACTCGTTTTCAGCAAGCTATCCAATTCTCTCACCCTGTAACTAGGGCATCGTTTGCTAACAGCATGCGCTGTGCCTGCTTTCGCATGCACGCTCATTAAAGCACACAAGCATTTCGCCATCTCTAGCCATGTTTTCCAAATCCAAAAACAAGCAGCAGAACTCACCGAATTTCAGATAATGTTTCTGATCATATACACTTATGTAATATGGATAATTAAGATCTGTATGAGTAATATCCCACGATAGGTTCTGTAGATTTTTAAGCCAATACGCAATTAACAGAACTCCTCTGCTGAACAGTCGCGATTGGCTCTCCTGACGTAGAGATTTGAATTACTGAAATAAAACAAATAAAATTAAAAAAACGTTTCGATTATATTCTAACGGAGAAACATAATAGCGGTTGTCCGGTAACAGAACAGACGCCAAAAACATTTTATTTTTAATATAGTGGTTAAAAGTTGTTACTTCCACCCTTAAAATAGCGGAATTACTACAAAACGTATTTAAGAAACTCTCCTTTTCTTCATCGTAGAAATGACTGTTAAAGCTTGGTGATGTTTTATAATGAAACATTTCGATTGATCTACTTAATCAAGTGTCATGCTGGAGTAAAGAGTGTGGATGCAGCTTTTTTTTTAAAAAGTTTTACCTGTAGTCTGTTCCCTTCACAGGAGCGAAGGTGTAGGTCCTCTCGCCTTCGTCAATGTAGCGCTTAAATAAGGATATTACTGTCAGTTCAAGAAGATTCCAAATAAAAATGGATATGAACTCAAAAAAATCAACAAATTACCTCATCTTGAGATTTCACCAGTGTAGATATTGTGTAGTTTCCCGTTTTCCCATCAATCATTTTATTTCTTATCTGTGTACAAAAAACAACAACAAAAAGAAACGCAACACCAAATATATAAATCACATCACCACGCCACCATATGGTTCCAGTTTGTGCAATCGAATTAGAAAACAAATCTGTGCGTCAGACCTCCACTTTGATGTCGTTCTCCAACTCTGCGTCCAGAAAGTCGAGTGTTACAGGTTCATCAAACTTAGCAGTCTGTGAGAAAATGTATGCAATTACTTCAGACAGTTTGTCAGGTGTGAAAACAAAGAGGGGGAAAAAAAAAATATCCCTGAAAACATCAGTTACTAATCTGCTTCCAAAAGCGGGTTTTGATGCTTTGCAGCCCTAAAGAGGGAAATAATCAAGAAGAAGATCCAAGTCATGTATCTGCAACGAATTTACCTGATGGCGTGTTTACAAAAAGCATATTTCTCAAATGTCACGGTGGAACATTTTGCCAAGCAAATAAATATAATCCTGCAAGCAAATGACGGTTTCCCTTGCAACACCTTCAATTTCTTGCAAAAGTATTAATACCCCTGTTTTCACATTTTGTCACGTGATAATCACAAACTGCATCGCCTTTCACTGTGATTTATGAATAAAAATAAATTGGTCAAAATGGGACACATTTGTATACGGCCCCCTCTTACTCTGATCTATCTAAATAAAAATAAGTGTTATCAATTGCTTTCAGTAGCCACCTATTTAGTAAACGATCCGTCGGAGTGTGAGTCAGTCTTTGTATAAATACAGCTGCTCTGCGAAGGCCTCAGATTTCATAGAGAACATATTAATAAACGAAGAGCAACGGAAAGGCCAGGGAACACACGGAGCCTTTAATCATGACAACTATTAGAAAAACAGACTGAAACAATAGATACGACGTGCATTCTGTTCGCATTAGTGTGAGCTACGAACCAGCAGAACCTTGGGAGGGTTTTTCTTTAAACCTCCTACAAATGCAGTGTGAAACGGTGAAAACGTTAATTTTTTTTCTCGAGGTCTTCAGCATTCAAGGATTTGCACCCAGACGATTTATCGCAATGGCATCATCAAAAGGGATTCAGACGGCAGAGGTTTCAAACAGAAACGCACAGAAACGTCTTACTCTAAGTGAGGAGATTACAAATTAATCGCTGTCTGCTTTAATGGCCAACTGACATTTACACAGTTTTGTCAAGCTGTTTCTTTTTTTTTTTTTCAGAACAGTAATTATTTTTCAAACAGTTGTGAGATTTTGCTTACCAGCGGTTGAAGATTAGGGTGGAGCAACACATACCCATTTGGATCAATAGCAAAGTAGTAGCCATTTGGACCAAACTAAATAAAATAAAACAAAACGAGAATTAGTGGGGGAAGATCTCTGCATAAAGACTAAAATGAACAGAACAAGTACGTCTGCAATAACATGACTTATGAGCGCTTACTGTGAACCGAGGCGTGAGTCTCTTGATATCTTCTAAGGAGACATCAATAGCCATAACCCCCAGGAAGAGCGGGTTTTTTGCCTTTGGAAAAAAAAAAAAAAAAAAAAAAAAAAAACCCCAGAGAGGATGTCAGCTGCAGAAAGAGGAACTGTAAGGCCTTCTTATGAGTCCTGTTGCTTTTCCTGGATGAGTCAATTCCCTCTGTGGATTGTGAAGGATTTTAAGGAAATGGTTGCAATAGGAATCTGGACAGTTTCATTCCCAAAAGCTTCATGTGCTGCAGTGAGTCACTGACGAGGCATTTCCAGACTTGCTTTCGGTCGCGCTGGAGGTAGAGGCTCAGAGTCCTTCGAGGTAGACATGCAGACTCATCTTGAAGCATTTAAGCTACCGGATTCATTTCTCACTCTGATCTGCATGATTGATCTATTTTTGAATTCTGCTGGGCGACTTCCTACATTCTCTTCTTGTGGAGAGCTTTGCATCAACAGAGGAAACAAGCCAAAGCCACAAGAAGATAAAAAAGATCAAAGATGAAAGCGAGTATTCATGTCGAGGGTTTAACGTTTAGCATATTATTGCGTCTCTGAAAGCCACAGTCCTTTTAATCTATGAAATCAAAGTGCGAGACAGTCAAAAGCAGACGGAACGTGCTGGTGAAGATGCCAGAACGAGATATTGTTATCAATTATTAATACTTACAGCCCTATGCAGAAACAAAAATGTTGGGGGGTGTTGGGGGGATTTGTATATTTGGTGGATACCTTTGAGCCTGTGTCAGTCTTGTTGAAGACGGGCAGTGTTCCGGTGATTACGAGACCCAGCTCCTGAAAGACAGAACGTAACACACACATGTAGAGTTATGCCCTTTACAGGGGCTTGCATATGTATTCAACTGTCCTAAACTGCGATACATAGTCGGATTACAACCACAAATGCATGGACTGAAAATGATACTATGACTTAACAATTTTAAATCTACCTAATCTATTTAAATTGCGACGGGATTTTTGTCGAACCTTCTTTCGATGCAATAGCAGCAAAAGTTCTTTGGGATCTGAACTCGACAAGTGTTGCAAATTAGGTTAATTTTAGTCAGAAAACATCTGCGACAATCCATACCTTGCCTCTAATTGGTCAGTTGGATTTATGGGTGGAATTTTGACTGGACAATTCTAACAAATAATTATCCTTCGACCTAACCTAAATAATTTTACTGTACTGTACCTTACATCTGTTTTTTCTGACATAAAATGAACGTCTGTTTCAAGTCTTCTGCGGCCTCCATGTAAACTCTACGTGGATAGTAGAAAACTGCAAATCAGACTTTTTTTTTTTTTTTGATGCATTATTCTCTGTGAAGATGTTCAACACTTGGAAAATTGCTTCGTGACCAAACTGATTTTAACTTCTCCATAGTTTGGTCCTTTGATGACGATGATAGTTTATTTACTGATGCGCTCAGATAAACTTCAGCTACACTGATGTGGTCTCAGAGTGAAGGAAACTGAATGCAAAAGTCCATCACACACAGAGCATGTGCAATTTGCTTCAATACATTTTAAGTTTGCAGTTGTAGCAATTACCATTTCTAATTAATACAAAACCATTTTGAATTGATGTCATAACAATTTGCAGCAAACAACTTGCAATTTTTGTCAGAAAAATGATTAAATAACTACTTTTCTTTTTTTTTTTAAAAAAAAAGAAATTTTTGGTGCCGAGAAAGTCGATGCAGTTTCCCAAACGGACAGTCTCCGATCAAATCCAAACTTCTCTTATCAGTCTGGTTTCTTATCTGAGGTCGCCTGGCAGAAAAACTTGAAAAAAACGTAAACAACAAAAAAAAAAAAAAAAAGGCAACACTAGGGAATACGGTTCATCCGTCATTACGCAAAAACAAGATATAGTGACAGCAAATGACTAAACAAGACTTCAAATTTCTTTACAAGACGTGAAAGAAATTATTCCGGGTTTACACAGTAAACAGCATAAATCTTTCACCCTGGTGAATGTGATGGTGTCACCTCTCCCCAGCAGAACATACCAGTGCATCCAGGTAGACATTTGTCCACTGGACTTGCTTGGGCTTTCGGACTCTCTTGGGCCCGCTGTCAGCTCTGACCATTGGCCGACCCAAAACGTCCAAGTACTCCTGCCAAGATGAGCAGAAACTTATTTTTGCAACATGCATGTTGAAAGTTCTACCACAAGGGGGCAACATACACAGCAAATTGTTAGAGCCAGAGTTTTGAGAAGTAAGGAGAACCCAAGTACAATTACTGAAATATGTTTTTATGACTGTTTACCTGAGTGTTCAGGCGAATGGCCCCAATAGATGGAATCTCATAGTAATACCCTGAGGGAGAGAAATAGATTTATTAGACAAGATCTTTTAGAATATTGATTTTTTCTTTTATTCCTACTACAGAAATCAACTTATCCCTCAGTTCTGCACCATCTTTAAAATGTATTGGTAGACTTGGCAAAAATAAAAAAAAAATAAAAATTCAAAATATTCAGTGCAGCAAACACACATTATAAACATTTCTGCACATCGTTTCAAATTGATAAAAACATTAACAATAGTGTTTTTTTTGGCATTAATGTGCAAGCCATTACAAGTAAATGGCTTGTACTTGTATAGCGCTTCATCAAGACCATAGGACTTCAAAGCGCTTTACACTACATTTAGTCATTCATCCACACACACACACACACACACACACACACACACACACACACACGATAGTAACCATACAGCCCTGACAGAGTGTGCCCCAGAGATGGAACACTGAACTTCCCCATTAAAGGAAATGCAACAGAGGCAGTTATTAATTCATCCTTTATTATTATTATTATTATTATTATTATTTTAGTTGTTAAAAGGTTTTGACACCTAATTATTACAGTGTTCCCTGGATACGTGGCCCATTTCGCTTAGCCATTAGGCTAAACAACGACCAGTTGTTGTTATGTCGCGATATAACACACATTGATCAGGCTGGCAGGGAAGGTAAAAGAAAAAAACCTCAAAACCCACAGATCACTTTCAGAATAAAATCTCCCTGACAACCATTAGATAATCCGTTTGTGGCAACCAGCTGCTTACCTGCCATGGCAGCCAAAGCTTTGTTCCCCCACACCCCCGTTACTACAAACGCGAATATTGACTTCATTTATACTGTGACGATTTGTTCCGATGAGACAAACAGTCCAGCTGAGTTTGGCATGAAACAAAAGAATGATTATGTGGAAAAGCACCTTTTTTATTAGGTGGTGTATAATTTAACAGCTCTGGAAACATTAAAAGACCACTGAGCCAAACCCCATTTAAAACCTCATGGTTATTCCACCAGATATTGATTTCTGAAGTCTTCCTGAGTTAAAACACTCGTATTGTTTTTTCTAAACTAATATAAACTTGAATTTTTATATATTTTTTTGCTTAATTATTTTGACCATTTCTCATTTTCTGCAAACAAATGCTACATTTTTGCTTGGATTATTGGAGTAGACATGAATCAGTAGTTCATAGAGTAAGAGAACAATGTTAACGTTACTCAAACGTACACCGATAAAAAGTAAAAATCAGAGAAACTGATAATTATAAGTGGTCTCTTAAGCTTTTCCAGAGCTGCATTACAGCACAAACCGCTACGGATTTTCACGTTTGTTATTAAATGAGGGCGTTCACCTGATAGCTACAAATCCAACTATGTTTCGTACCTTTATTATTGCAGGCCATCCACTGTATCGGGCCTTTGTCGTAGCTGTGTTGGCCTACGGAGAAAGTAAAGATGCGCACCTGTGAAGGACAGTAAGTGCAATAAGATGAAACAAACAAACAAAAAAAAAAATACAGTAAGAGCAACAAATATGAACAACCATGTTGAAGCTGAACGTGAAGTCCTACCTCTTGCTTTGGGTTGTATTTTTTAAAGATTTCCTCAGCCCTCTCCTCTCCTCCATCAGTGAACAGCATTATAATCTTGTTGCAGTCGGCCCTCGACACATTGGTCTGGTTTACACAGAAGCAAGGGCTTTTAATTTCAAGAAAAGCTGCTGGATTAACGGTTGTGAAAAGAAACAAATAGTGCATTTTGAGTGCAATATCTGAAAGAACCAGCGGAGGGTGGCAGATGCTCACTCTCGGAGAATATTTAAGAGCCGTGGGTGATTATCCAACTTTTTGCAGACAATTCTTGAAGTTGAGTGGATATGAGCTCTTACATATTACAAAGATTTACATATACAAAAAGTATAATTGCTCTACACACCCCTAGTAAAATGTGATGCAAAAATAGAGAGCAAGGTCAATACTGACATTTTTAGCGTCAGTGTGAAAAACAACCAATCAGACTCAACCAAAAAAATAAATAAATGGAGTATTTAAGGGGAAAGAAAAAAAAAAAAAAAAAAACATACACATAAGGGGATGTTACTGTATTTATAATTACATTTAAACTCAAGTTGCACAGTCAGCACACAACTGCTATCATTTAAACTGCTTCTTATTAACTCAAAGTTGTTTGAATAGTATTTGTCTGGTGTTTTTTTTTTTTTTTTTTTTCTCCCGCCTTTAAAGAAAATCCAGCAGATTCCGCAGCAGGTCCACCGACCTGAATCAAATGAATGGGTCATTAGCAGGCCTCTACAGGAGTCAAAGACATCCGGAGGAGGTTAAGTGAGCCATTCACTCAGCATAAGAGGCATGGGACACTTACCCTTGAAGAATTAAGTTGACCATCTATGTAGGGGAGTGCAAAGCCACATAATTATGACATTTTATTATTTTCCATTTGTTTTTCAATAGAGTTGAACTGGTTAGAGGTCACACTGAGGGTGGAAAAAAAAAAGTTCTGAGCCGATTTATCCTGGTTTCATTTTATAAAAAAAAAAAACAAAAAACTGGCATTTTAACAAAGGTGTGCAGACTTTTCAGATTCACAGAATGTCACCAGTTTCTTCTGGTTAATATGGGCTACATAAAATAAAAAAAGAAACGAGAATTGTCACCATTACCTCAATCTGGCATTTAAATGCAGTCCATACACTCTTTACCTGTGCGAGCTGTTCAAACGCCAGTTCAAAGCCACTTGTGTAGTTGGTGATGCCCTCGGCTTTGAGTCTCTGCACTGCCTCCTTCAGGACCCTTTTGTTCCTCACGTTGGCCTGCACCAGGTTCTGAAAGCATGCTGCGGGCCGAGCGGTTTTGTTGAACTGGGGGGATAAGGGAAGGAGGGTTGACGGGAGGAACGGGGAAGGCACTCGCACATATTTCCTAATAAATATGTGTTTCTTTCTTTGCAAACTGTTGCAGTGGTCCTTAAAACACGTACGCTACACTATGAAGTAGAAGAGTTGGGTGACATTTAAAAATAAAATGCAACTGTAGACAACTGTGTTGGAGAGATCAACGCAAATTGTCACGTGCAAACGGAAAGGCGATAAGGTCGAACGCAATCAAACTTTCACACACCGAAGGAAGCTAAATTAACACAAGGATGGAAACGTAGGAGAGATGGAGGGGATGAGAAAACAGTGGCGTATGGAGGTGAAAAAAAAAAAAAAAGAGAGAGCTTAAGTCCGGAAAGATTATTTGTCAAGTCACAACCACACAAAGTAACTTCAGGTAGATCCTGGTGAATAGCTCACGTGGAGGAACAGATGGAAGTGAATCAGTCTACACACAAACACACACACACACACAGCATCTATAAAAGGGCAGGGCCAAGCATGGCTCATTAGTACTCAGCATCTGCTTTGGGGCTCTTTTGAACACAGCTCCCAATCATCAGCGTCATGGTCCAAACATAGCATAACGAATTATGGCATCAATAACATCCACCAGTGAGTATTTCTGCACATAGGATGGAAATATTGACTCAGGGAATCGGAATAGAATATATTTTTAGACTTTTATTAAGAGAAATATTAAAAAACATTCCATCTCTTTCCTCCCCCTCCTCACATAAAACCCCATTAAAATAAATCATTTTTAATCGTACATCTTTGCAGTTAGAATGTGTCAAAGTGGAAAAGCTTCCAAGAATATTAACTGGTCAAGGCATCATATTTCCTTCCAGTAGTAGTAAGCTTGATTATTTGTAGATCTTGCCTTCTGATGACATTAGATGGCAAGTAAAATTATTTTACTGTACAGGCTGCCTGAATTGGGATCTATAATTGATATTGCAGAACAAGATAAAAAAAAATAGGGTTTGTCTTATTAACTTTAATTGATTGGTTGCGTAGTACGACCCAGTGTGGGGGTACGCCGAGTCACAGAAACAGAAATCAGAGCAAACCAAAGTCTATAAAACGTTATGTCATAAACCGTTCTACTGAACCTCCACACCTGCCCAAAACAAACGCACACCAGTGCATTTAATAGGGGAAGTTGAAACAAAAATGTTATTCATGGCTAATTTGGAAAGCAAACTAATTTATGTTCCCAGTCATGAAGAGCGACTGCAGGGAGGACAAAGTAGAGAAGCAATCAGGATAAAGGAGACGCTGGACAGAGGAAAGTCAGACCCACAAGTGCACAACGCATTCTGAGCCAAGAAATTGGAGGGATGCATTAAGCTGAGAAGCTGCACGCTTTCACACAAGCACAGAAGATAAGCGTTTGACACGTGACCAAGAAAATAACTACACTCTAATGGAACATCTTCAGCTCAAAAAAATATCCTCTTATGGTTGCTGATGTACAATAAGTCATCGTCTTCATAGGTAGTGAACGTTTAAGCAAGAAAGGGAATGATAGGTCAGTTTGTAAATAGTTTTAGAAAGGAGACGATTATATCAGTTTATCAATAATTAAAAATACAAAAAAATGAACCTCAAACCACCTGTATGTTCGCTACTAAATGAATTACTTTATGAAAAGCGTTTATACTCGTGTGGAAAAGCTCTTAGAAACAAAAGCAACACACACAGTGTTACACCAGAGCAATACACTTAGCACATTAGCAACAGTAATGGGAGCCCATGTTTTGGACACTGTGGATTTCAGTAGTAATCCCATTCAGTACGACTGCCTCCAATTCGTCTTGGCAACGCCCCGCAAACGTCCTGAACTGGGGGGGGGGGAACACTCGCCCTCTGAACCGTTATTTTTCTTTGTGAAAGTTGCAGAAATGCTTTAAACTGGCAGTCACTGGAGCTGCAAATTGTGATGGATGAAGGCCAATGCCCTAATGCCAGGAAACCTTTGGTGCTCGAGATTTCTATCGAATCTCAATTTGGCATGGAAGACGTTTTCTATTCCATCCCGCAGAGTTAGGAACGTGGCAGAAGAAAGCGAAGATTAATTTGTCGAAGGTTTCATGTTGCATCTTCGTGGCTTGAACTTGAGAATTCGCTTTCAAACATACTTGGGTGTCCTTGCTCTATTAGCATTTCTCTGATAAAATTTAGAGTTTATGGAAATGTGCTTTACCTCTCCAAGGTTCTTCTGTTTTTTTGTTTTTTTTTTCATTTCCAGCACAGTTAAGCATTTTAATAATCGTAGATGACCTGGTTTAATTAAAGGAAAAAAAAAATTATCCAATGAAAACATGCAAAACAATGAAACAATTAATTCCCCTCTTATTAGGTAATGAATTAACCTGATGCCCATATTTTTGGAAAGTCACACCCAACCCTGGTTTATGCCACACCTGTAGAACCGTCAGCATATTTAAACAGAGCTCGACTGAAATTTAATTTATCCACTAAATCAGTGGGTTTGAATAAAGCTGCTTAAGCAATCATTTTCAATCTGGACTCCAGCACCTGTAGAACAAAAGCGAATACTCACAGACACCACGTTCACGAAGTCGTCATCGGAGAGGGTCTCCAGCATCCAGCTGACTGAGGTTTTGATCAGTTTCAGGGTGAGGCCTGATACGCTTCCACTCCTGAAGCACCGAAAATGGGTTTTAGAATAACTCAAACATCACAGTCAATGACTGAAACACAGTGTTAGGCTGTAGCTTCATTCTAGGCAAATATGACTAAATCAACAAGTAACCCAAAAGCGTTGACAGTCATTGCAAAGATTTGATACAAGTGTTGGAATGTATAACTTTTAGATTGCTATGACTTTTCTTGGTACAAAAAAAAAAAAAGTTGTAAAAGAGCCAATTTCTGTATAGCAAATGCAGAGCTCAGGCTTTCAGGCAATGAGAGCAGGAGAGGTGACTTGGGTATCAGGTCAGGATGCCTTCTGGGTGTCTTCCTGGTGAGGCGTCTGGCCACGTCCCCCCCAGGAAAAGACCTGGAGGAACCCAGGACACACTGGAGGGACTCTATTTCTCTGTTGGCCTGGAAACGCTTTCTCTCTGGAGAACTGCCTGAAGAGAGGGAAGCCTGGACCACTGCTTCAGCTGCTGTCTAAGCGACCCAACCTCAAACTAAGTGGAAGATAATGGATGGATGCTCCTCATACATGCTTGTCTTCCCGCAGCAGACAGCACGGGCATTTGGTTTAGCTTAACTAAACTGAGGCTGCAGTGAAATTAACTCAGCAAAAAGAGTTAGGCACCCCTGATTTCCTACAGAGAATTAATATTCCCAATTTATTTCATTATAAAGACAATTTAAAGTTGAATTCTCAATCAGTGTTTTAAAAAAAGTCCTAAATGATGGATAATGATGTCAACATGCAAACATAATAATCATAATATGTCAGACATTCAATCTTTACATTTTCACTCTTTCAAAGTTAATTCTTGAAAGTGTGTCTTCCTTGAACATGACGGAGTTTGTGCCGGACTCCCTTGACGCGAGAGAACTATTGTCACGTCTGGTATCGCTCCAGGAGTCCCTTATGGACCTCGCAGTTATTCTGAACTCAAAGTTTTCCAGTCTTAAATCATTGCAGGGAAACCACTGGACCGCGAGTAATAAGGTTGGCCAGTGCACTGACCGCTTTTTGTTAGTCAGTGTCACACATGAGCGCAGCCCGGCAGCGCCCAGCGGGATGAGGCCAGTCACGGAGTTAGCATCAGGGCCTCCTGGCGTGCAAAAGCAAATCCAATCTGACTGTAATGTATGAATCATAAGGATGTCACTCACGCATCCACTAGGATCAGCATGTCCTTGGGTGACGCCGCCCCCTGAATGTACCTGGTGAGTAATACCAGAAACACACAGGCGGATTGTACATATGGAGCTCACGTACGCACAGAAAACATTGAAATGCTTATTCTCAGAGACGTAAAGCTGCGTCAAAACCCATCGCTACGATGGACACTACCAGAAAAAAAAAAATAAAATACGGTTGCTGAATTTTCAAGCCACCTATTCTCTTCACTAACTAACGTTTGAACATATTGACATGAGACTCAACCAACTCACCAAGGTCGCCTGCGTACGTCATACAGGTCGATCTTGTCAGGTGAGCTTCTCTGGTCGTTCCAGGGGGAAGCTGCATGCATGCAGGCAGAACAATGTGTGTGTTTACATCCCCAGACCCAACCGAAGAAACTGCATTTGTCAACATGCATAAACTAAACTAAACATAAATACACACAATATGCAGTATTATTTTACGCTCTTTTGAAACAGGCACATTTTCTTCCATGTTTTTTCTGGGGGGTTTTTTTGTTTGTTTTTTTGCATTGGACAGACAAACGTCTCGTATCAGAGAGACACAAGAATATATTTGCATCAAGCTTAAGCCATTTTTGAAGCAAGATGAGGCAAGTCTCGTGTTCTGACTCAAATGTTAGAATTATCTCCTCCGGCCGTCACAAACTCCTGCAGCAGCAGCAGCAGCCTGCTAATGACACATTTATTCACATCAGGTGTGCTCAGCGTTTAAAACATGCGGGACTCTGGCTCTCAAAGACGGGAACCATCCATGCCCAAAATGGATCTCCGTGTGCCAAACACAAACTGTGTATAGTTGAAACGTAAGCGAGAGCACAAAAAGTTTTTAAGAAGGTCAAAAACCCGCACTTTACAACTCGGTCTCGTTCCCTTTTCTGGTAAGTTGTATGTAATTTTTGTTTGCTGCAAGACATTGTGGGGATTGCCAGTAAAAATTCTAGATTTTAAGGTTTCAAACTGACCAACTGCGTTAACCAAAATGTCTTTCATTTACTCGTCGATTGAGTTCAAAACTGCCCATTTCAAGCTTAGTTCGGCGTTTTGTAATTTTGAAGCAAAGTTTAGCTGATTCAGATTTCTCAAGATATCAAAATATTTTTTCTCGTCTTGTATATTAGAAGCAGCCCATTGTTAATGAAAGCCTGCTCATGTCAAGATTACCTGGGTAATACCGAGCCAGTCCAGTGGCGGAGCCAAAAACCTGCCAGAGCAGTGAAGGATCATCCTCTTTGTTTTGTCGGAAAACATCCTCCAACTCGTCTGTCCAGTTCAGCTCATTCAAAATGATGGTGGCTGGAAGAAGAAAACGGATTCAATAAATCACCTTTTGGGAAGAATTAAATCAGCGTGCTTAGATTTCTGCAGAAAAGCATCCACTAAATAAAATCTCTAATAATAATAATAAACAGAAGGAATGCTTTGATGCACACATAAAAATAAAAACAAATATACAGCTTGTGCAATATTGCTTTACTGATGGTGACGGCTGGGAGAAGTGAGCCATCTCATGGCTATTCAAACTGCGTAAGTCTCCTAAGATGATTTTTTTTTTATTTTTTAAAACTGCTCTAAAAACATCAACTTCTGCAACAGTAGAAAGTGGCCAGAACATGAGACTCAGAATAATTACAAGTGACATTTCTGGAAGCAGATAAAATCTACTGAGTACTGAGCAGCCAGAAGCACACAGTGCTTTCCTGCTTTTCCCCAGAAACTCATAATACTTATTGCTCTAAATGAGCAGCTTGTTTTTCAACTGTAAACTTAGTTTGGCAAAAAGCAGCCCTGACAAATCGAGCTCAATGGGAGAAATCCCAGACGGAGCACTGAACCTAGATGAAAAATCGAAAAAAAGAGTGCTTCAGCGGAATAAATAACATAAATTTGCCAAATTAAACATTGTTTCCATTTAAAATCCTATACTCCACGTCTAAAAGTGTTCAAATCATTTGCCTTTACGATCCTATCACCTCACTTTCTCTGCTCTCCATGGATTTTCACCATCCCTTTAACCTAAGCCTATACCTGAGAGGTTTTTTGTGAATCAAATTGTGTCCCAATTGTAAGCGGTTAAAAAAAAAAAAAAAAATGTTCAGGTCTAACAACCTGATACTCCTTGAGTCTGGATTCTATCGGACTAGTTCTGCTGGTATAACTGACACCACTAACTGGATGTGTCTGACCAAAAAAACAAAAAACAAAACAAGAAAAAACAAACAAAAAAAACCCTAAATATAGAAGCAATACTATGTTTTCATTTTCAGAAAAAGCTGAAACCATTGCAAAAGAAATGTATGTTTTTAATTCTCTCCAACTAGAATTTAAATATAGACATCCGTCGCAAACACGCGACATTAATAGGGCATTAATTAATAGAGCTGAAGCCCTCGACTTCTATGTTGCGTGGGTCTAATCCCAGCTGAATGATGGAACAAATCACAGTTTCAGTGTAAACAGATCCATCTGGGAAGTGACGTGCCGGTTGCTTGCTCGAGGTCACTGTGGCGAGAGGAAGAGAGGTGTCACCACGGCGATGTAAGCGCTGGTCGGCTCTATTTGTCAGCCGTGGCATCGTTTCCCGAGGGACTTCAGAGGGTAACACGTGCGGTTTCGAGTGTTTGCATACTCAGAGCGACAGACGTGGATCAGTGTCTCTCAGAAAATATGGCCCAGAGTAAAAGGTTTTTTGTTTTTTTTTCCTTCTAGATGTGAAAACTACGTCAAGTCCTATGTTTTTTTTGTACGCGTGTATTTTGGAGCAAGTCTCTTTTTGCTTGGTTGAGATGGGAGAAAAGAAAACAATAAGTGAGGTGATAGGATCGTAAAGGCAACATTGGAAAAGCAATGAAATGAAGCTGTAAGTACGACAGACAGCTAACGTAAAGGAATATACAGCACATGTAATCCAAACGATTGAGCTTTTTTAGGTGAATGCAAACAAATTTGTTCCTACCAACTGTCACCATGTCGCTAAGGTAGAGGGAGTGCAGAGCAACTCTTAGGGTTTTCATGAACAGGAACGGAAGAATTTATTTAGAAAAGATTAAATGCATCAGTCAAGACGACATGGGAACATGTTGGGAGAATAAACATGATTCCAGCAGTGAATCAGAAGGCGGTGGGAGTGGGAAGTGAAACTGGGAGGGAACTCTGCTCTGTGCCATGCAGTTGCCTCTGCTGTTCCCTTCCATCAGCTAACTGGTAGTTGTCTCTGCTGGAGCACTTGAACGTAATAACACGGTTGAAGACGAGGTGGTGAAAACCTGTAATCGCCGAATCAGAAAGGGTCTTCGATCCAGAGATACCTTACTACTTTGCGACTTCTGAGGGTGAGAAATTAAGCTAACATGGAAAACGGTTAAGTTACTTAAAGCTGCCTCAACATCTTACTTGAGCTGTGATGCCTAATCTCATTTAAAATTTAAAACATTTTACAAAAAGTTCTTGGTTGTCGTGATTATTCTAGAAGGACAGAATGTTTTGCTTTATTTCAGTGTTTGAGCTGCACCTAGAAAATAAGTAAAGTTGGTTTTGCAACTCACATTCACATCATGGCCATAAATGTCCATGTATTCCATTGGACTTTTGTGCAACAATCACCACAAGTATCAACAAGAAAAACAAATCTAAAAAGTGTGGCTTGAGCTTGTAGTCTGCCTACTCAATATGTGAACAAAAAAAAGCATCCATCATGAAGACAAAAAGATAAAAGATCATAGCAAACAGTTCAGTGAGAATGTTATGACATTTAGAGGAGAACTGGTGCGCTCATTCAAAACTAGAAAGACTGTGGCATAACTCAAAACCCACTAAAACATGGCAGCCTACCTAAACTAACAAGTGGAGCGAGAAGAGCTTCACTAAAAGCAGACGAGAGACCCAGGGTGACTCTTTAGGAGGTTGTAGAAATAGGAAGAGACTAAGAAATAAAAGGAATGGTACGTCCCGCCACTTATTTTCTCCCACATGGGAAAGGGGCTTGAGGTCACAGAACAGATGGGGACAGACATCGACTGTCTCCTTATGTTAATTGATTTATAGAAGAGGTGAAATCAGATTAGGAGATAACTGTCTGGGAGCCTTCTCGCATCCAAATGGGAGCCCCACTTATCTGATTAGAACATCGCGGGCAGGCATCCAACTCCTCGCAAGGGACACAAGTTATGGATGTAATGACAGTGAGACAAGGATGGAGAAGGAAGGATAGAAAGACGGAGATGGATTTAAGTGCACCTCAGAGTTTGGCTGCGAGCTTTATAAATGAAATAGGATGTGTATAAAGTGGCACAAGGGTGCAAGTAGAAAAGAAAATCCATTTATAAGCTGTGAGCTTTGCCAGAAGGACTTTGGCAATAACACAATCGCAGACACACACACGCAGCCGCAGTATCTCGGCGCGTCACAGTATGTGCATGTCTAGGGCTGACAGGTGTCACACAGCGTAGATGCAAACGGGCATCAGACGAGCCTCGGATCCCCTGCCAAGGCCACAACGCTCCCCTTTCATCTCTTCTCGTCGTATCCACACTGCTCTGCCTAATGAGCGAGAAGACATGCATATGCAGCCACGAGATCCCTATACGGCGCGATACGTGCACGTGACGTGACACGCACGCAAACTCTCACACCTCAAGTGTTTCCAGCTCTCCCTCGATCACAATCATGCATGCAGACAGGCTGATTCATCCGTAGTTTGAGTGTGCGAACACAAACACCAGATAAATCCCAGTCTGACCACCTACACTGGATCGGCACAGAGAATGGATTCCAATCATGTGGGGGAGAAAAGACAGCAACAAATTTGTCACCAGGAAGCAAAAATGTATTATGCCTAATGAAATGGAGCAAAGGTTAAGGGAAACCGATATGAGATCAACTCCTTTGGCTCTGCAGAACGTCTTCTCCTACATAAAAGCAGTGGATTACACAGCTCTCCTACAGCAACATAAATAGCAAAAGGGACGCCAGCCTCGTCTAGACCGAGTTCCGTAATCGAGTTACAACTGACTCTCCTCATGCCAAAGAGATGCATCTTGGGCGTGCCCAAGTCTCTGCTTCTCCTTCAACCAAGATGCCCATTGCCATGGCAACTCTGAATGTACTGGCCAGCCGGAGAGGCGGCAGAGCGGGAGCCGGTCGTCGTTTTCAAGATTTCAAGAACTGGGAGTTGCTAAAACCCAGAGCAACTTTACAGCTGGTGCTAATGGGAACTTCATCCGAGTCCAGCCTGTGAGCGGGCAAAGAGCAAATCCCTGACACGTGTTCACGTTGCAGGTGGACAACTTAGCATCAGAGGCCTTCATCTGCTCCAGAGAAATAGTGCAACTTAATCCAAACTTCAGTAGAGGCAAAACTTGTCACAGTAGAGATTCCAAAATAATAATAATAATAATAATAATAAAACAATTAACAGTTTTTGCACTGCTAAAATGATTTTTGGTTACATGCAAGCTGGCTCTACACTGAAGGAGATAGAAAAGAAGCAGATAAATTAAAAACACTTATAGAAAACATCAAAGGTTATGAGGTCTTTCATGATCCTTTTGTGGGGGGTTTTGTAGTTGTCGTTCTGCAAGCATTTTGGTAGGAAGTGCCTGTAATGAGTTCAGTTTTTCAGGACCTGTGTTGCCGACACTTCTTTAAAAGGGTGTTTTCTCTCTCTTTCCTAACTACACTGAAGTTCGTGATTCCAGCATGTCCAAACATACTGAAAAGATATGGCTACATTTGCAAGCTACTACTGTCTACTTTGGGTACATCTCAGCTACTTGTTTTCCTTTTCTTGATGTGCAAGTATACTTATTATGATGGTTTCTTTAATCTTCTTCAAAGTGATTCCTTTTTGAGTTTTGTTGCATGCATCTTCCAGATGCTAATTAAACAGAAGAGAACAGATAAAAGTCAGAACGTCCTTGGAGGTTTAGAAACCTTTAGGAAAGAAAATGACGTAACCTGGGTGGGTATGTAAACTCTAAGTGGGTGTTACTTGAAATCTCGCAGTCTGCAGTCTATTTTTATATTTATTAAGGCCAGCAAAAGGAGGATAAAAAGTGAAGGCCTCCAACTACAACCCTGCTGGTATCAGAAACGTGCCAACTTTTGAGTCAAACTTGGAAATACCTTCCCATTGTTACTTTAAGTTCAACACTGAAAATTTACTGACCATACATTTATTGAGCTTTAAGGGGAATAAATAAACTGGCCTTTTCTACAGATGAGAAACTAAAAGTATACCCGAAGCCGAGCTGCCAGTAGTCCACTCACTGTTAGAAAAAATAAAAAAAATAAATAAATAAAAAGATGACTGAATCATACTGAGCATAATGCACTATTGAATCTCCTGAACCCAACCCCCAGCCTTTTCATCATTATAACTGCAGCTTGTAAAAATAACCAAGTGCATTTGGCAATGACAAAATGTCTGCACAGTCAGAGGCCTCAGAGGCCCGTCACTGCACATTTATAGTCCGCCTTATTGGGAGTGACTCGCTGTATAAGGACATAAAAGTCATGTGATGTAGTCCGTTGCGTTTGGAAGGCCTATACTGTTAGAACTGTTGCCAAAACTGATATCGAACACTCAGCTGATGGTAATAAACACAAACTGAAGCAATATCATCAAGCTGTATGCCTCGATATAAATCAACCCATTTCCCTCCGCTGAGATTGGCCTGTTTTTCTTTTAAATTTAATATATAAACATAAGCTGGTCTCATAGGATTACTTCTGTGATGCCTGTTATGTTGCAGCTGTGGATTTGCCTTCCTGTTGCCAAATCAATGGCAAGCCTGAGTATGTGCAGCCAGAAGAAAGACACAGCGTTGTGTCGGTGTGAAGACTTGTCTCCATTTAAAGTGTTCTTAGTTTGTAGGCTGTCCTAGAATAAACTGCCTAAAAAAAACAAAGGTAGTGTTGTCAATTCTAGACCAGTTTGATCAGCTTAATGGGGAAAATCTACTTTATTGTAGTGAAATTGTGTAAAAGTTGTTGCTGTTATGATTTACTAAACATTTCCAGAAAGATGTTGCATCACCTTAAAGGTTCATTCTGGTTGACTCGCAACCGACCAACTAAACTGATTAAATTATTTCATGATGCATTTCCTTTTCCAACAAGTATGACATTTTTTTCTATTATCCATAACATCACATCAAAAATATTCAACTTAGCCCTTTAAATGTTTTAATTTTCCAATTATTTGCAGGAGTATAGGCTAAATATGGTAAGAAAAATCAAATCGGCTCCTGTGATGCTCTCTAAAACTAAAATAACAAATGTAAAATGTGTAGCCGCTGTTGTTATGAGCCCCAATTGAGAAGTTAGGCGATTAAGTTTGACTGATTGATTGATAGGATTTTTGTACCTTATTTTGCAAATTGGAATGTACCTTTTATTATTATAGCAACAAAGAGAATTATTAGTTTCTCAAAAAAAAAAGAAAAAAAAAAGAAAAGTTGCAATCTTGCCTTGTTTTTGTGGACCCATAATCTGATTGCATAATCTTACACATGAAATGTATATTTAATAGGTAAATAAAGATATTTCCATTAGACATTTGATGTTTTGAATACACCACAATCAATCAACTGATACTAAAATGTGGCTGTTTTGGAAAAAAAAAATTAAAAAGCAACAAATGAAATGTTTAAAGAAAAAAGCAGAGCTGTTTGTCTGCGAGATGAACACAGAATAATAGCATAATGTTTCTCGCAAGCACTTCTTCAAAGAGGATCGGTTTTGGGTGTGCCGACACGCTGTGAACTGGTGGAGTCAATGATCAGCATGAGGGAAGGGAGCAGCTGGTGACCAGGGTAAAGAGGGGGCCAGTGTGCTGACCAGTGGGCGGATGGCATTTGAACTATATATAGACTAGAATACTTCAACTGTCTACAATGCAGATGGTGCTCAAAGGCTGAGCGTTTTATCTTTGAAGTATACTGTAGATGGTGACCGTAGTGATGACGAGTGGAAACAGGATGCAGGGGAATGTTCTATACCAGCTGTAGAAATATACCAGGAAATATTTTATTAACGCTTAAAAAAAAAAAAAGGATAACTGGAAATAAATAACAGGAATATTTAACAGCTATGTTTTTATGTGAATGACCCCACTCATTGAATTGCACACTGCCATCGTTTTAAACGTGGCATATCCAATAATCATTCAATAACAGAATCAACAGAATGTGTCGCGTTTGTTAGGTCTGTTAGTTTTTCCATTACTCTCCTACAATAAAACATGTGAATTATGTGCTTTGTGCAAAACTAATTTCAATCACAAAAGCAGTGGTGATTGACATGCATGTGCAAATACCAAACATTTCCAACATCTAACTTAACATTAATGCTGGTGTTGAAGGAACATTCGTAGTTTAACTACTGTAATTCTCTGTAAGCCCTTACATTTTATGACTAGGCATCTCAGTAGGATAAAAAAAAAAAAATAATAAAATTAAAAAATCCATTTGTGTTTTAGATCTAGCGTTTGAATCTCCCAAATTTTTGACCAACCCTGGTTCTGGTTGAATACGTTTAAGCAAGGCTTATCCTCAAGAACGTCACTAGAACGCCATTTCTAAGAACGGAGAGGAAATCCTCACAAGCAGAGATATTCAACACTGGTGTGGCTGCAAGTTGATCAGGTCTGAGCAGCATGAAGCAAATCGTACAGTACAAGTAGTTAAATGCCGTACAATTTTAAAACACAACCAGATTTTCTCCGATTAATGGCCAGTGAGATATTTGTTATGGATTTAGATTTGACTCCTTTAGGTTTCCTCTGCATGACTGTGTGCTGTGGGACTAATTAAATTACCTCACAAGGAAGATAATTCGTTTTCACACCACAGTTACAAGTGGGTGAATCAGCTCAGTCAAAAAAAAATAAAAAATACAATGACAATAAAACATCACAGGATTGCAGGGAGAATTCTGATGTTTTTGGGCCAAAAAAATAGGCAAAGCAAAAATAAATTTTTCCCACCGCCTTCTGAAAATGAGGGAGGAGTTCCTCTACCTAAACACCTTACTAGTCTGTCCCCTGGTACATTTTTCCACTGCATCATAGTTCATCTTTATCTGTTCTTCTGTTGGCTTTGCTTTATCGAATAAGTTTTGATGAATATTTTTTTATTTACAATGAAGTTTCCTCTATTCCACTTACAGCCTTCGTATATGTCGGTGGGGATGTGGACGGCGGTGGTGTTGTAAGAGACGAGGCGTTTGAAGTCGGGGTCCATTTCAAAGTCGTCTGGAATGAACCTGTTGCTCTTGTCCTCTTCTTTATCTTTATCCTTTTCTTTTTCTCTTTCTTTCAATGCGGTCTTATTCACCTGTGCAAAGGAATTCAAATGAAACAAAACCCGTTAAAGTTAAATAAGACATGGCTACAAAGACTTCCATTTGTATTTGCACTGTGGTTCTATAAAAGGGAGTGGATGCATAGCAAATGTTGCACGTTAATGAATTTTTGTTTAAGGGGGGAAAAAATGTGATCATTCAAAACTACGCATCGTTTTCCTCTCCGTCACAATTATGCGCAGCATTATGAGGAAAAATCCAATACGGAACAAGATGTGAAAGAGTTCAAGAGGAATTCATATTCGCGTAAGGCACGTTTTATACCCCCCAACATTATTTTTTTCACAGAACCAAAAGTGAGCCTTTAACAGGTGTGAACTGTTCATCAGGTGTCAGTGATATTGACCCTTTGGTTTGTTGCCAAGGTATACATAATGTGTTCTGCTTAAAAAAAAAAAAAAAAAAGTGAATTAATATGTACTTACGCCATCTTTGGCATTGTAGTACTTGAGCTCGTTAGCCTGCAAAGTGGACCAAAGACAGAAAGGAAGAGATCAGAAATGAGTGACAATAACTCCATAAAGCTACAAAAAAATAAAATAATAAGTTCACATAATACTGCCCCTTTAAACATTTTTCTCCTTTATATGGTAGGGCCCTGTACATAACACCACTTCCCTCGCTGACGGCATGAATCAGCGAGGGAAGTGGTGTTATTTTGCGCTGCTGAGCTTCCTGTCAGAACAAAGGCTAGTCGGTTGCTAACGAGCTAGCCACACTGTTGACGTTCTAATTCCCCAGAGCAACCAAGCTGGTTCACCGACTCCCACCACCTGTCTTCTTACTTTACAGCCACGTACAACAACAGAACGGCAAGTGCTGCCGCCACTGTAGAGTTAGCTCAAAGGGTTTGTAATCAAATTAAAGCCAAACACAAGCATCTGCTTAAAATTTTCAGGTCATGAATCAGGTAATTAGGTTCTATTTTTATATAAAAACCTTGATACAAAAAAAAAGGAGTAAAAGAGGGAAATTATGTTGTTTCATTGTAAAACATACAAAAGGAATGCTCCATAATACTGTAAACGTTTTGTTAAAACCATAAATTTTACATTTGGGAATAAATTTTTATGTTGGGGGGGGAAAAAATGCATCCATGAGCACTGGAAATATTGGCTTCCAATAAGCTACAATAAAGATAAACATTTAACTTTCCCAGGAATTTTTTTTTTTTTTTTTTTTTTTAGCGTCTTTGATTTAATGAGATTTAAAATTACCTACCTAACCACTGCCTATAATCTGCTGCATGAAGCGTTTTAGCTTAAAAAGTTGGCGATGCTCCTGCAATGTTCCTCTGCTTAGGAAAGTTAAATTCACCTGATTGGAAGCGTTCCAGTTGAGGAAAAAACCAAACAAACTTGAAGAACCATTGTGTGGCAACTATCGGAGAAAGTACCGTCTTAAGCCGCCACTGGCAAGCTATCTGTGATAAAAAATCATGCTCTACATGTTTGTTTTTAATATCTGTGTTAATGTCAAGAACCTTTGGCATTCTTACTCAAAGTTACAACACTGAGAATTACACACCGATGCCTCATCAAATCTGGACTGGGATTATTGTAGATTAAACTTGGATTTGTTAAAATACATGACCAGCTTTTAACAAATATCTACTGATATTTTGACAATTTACCTTTGGTGAGGAACTCCAAGTCTTTGAGACGGACAGAACTTGTTGCCATTATGCTAGTCTTTAGCTCCTCCACAGATTTTCTTTCAGATTTAAGTCAGGACTCTGAAAGGGCCACTAAAAGTGAAATCTATTAGTAAAATTAAAACGCTACTTAGACCTAAACCTGCCAGGGATATGAATAGTTATTGGCTCAGCTGCAATGTTTTTTTTAATCCAATCGGTATAGTTTTCACATACCTGGTATTTGCATACAGAGAACACCATTATTTTCATTGGGCTCCGTCAGACAATTGTAGTTAATTAAGCAAAAAGATTTTTTTTTTTTTTTGCCAGGACAGCAAATCTGTTGAGTTACATAAAGTATAAATCAGTCAGTCTACTAAAGATATATATTTTTTTACTTTAGCTTCTTTCAACACTGCAGAATATGCATGACATGAAACAATGCCAAGATGTTTAATGGAATAAAGTCATTAAGATTTGGAAGCACTGTGGGAGGATTTTAAACCTAAAAGCTTTAATGGCTGCGTTCAATTTCTTTTCCCCCCTCCATCACTAAATGAACACTCAGTATTTTTTCATTTGTTAATTGGCTGCAATAAAGTGGCATTTGCAAAATTAAATAATAATAATTTTAGAAAACCAACACGGGGAAACCCCAAAAAACCACCAACGACTGTGCGAACATTCAGACACTGTGGCTTAACGAGTAAAACAAGCATGACTTCACATTCGCTGTGAATTCCCATTTAATGCACCCTTAGTACTCTCAGAGCAATGAAAACTGGAAGCGATAAAGTAGCATATTAGTGTTCCTTACGACCAGGTCTGCTTCCTTTCAGGCTGTTATGAGAGATAATGAAGTGCCATCTTTTAGACAGTTATTAAAGTACAATTGTTACTGTAACGAGAATTGCAAAATTACTACCATCTTATTGAATAACACGTCGCTCTGCTCACTCTGCACATGCAGATTACTGCACCACTTGATCTTCATGATAATGAACTTATCAGATCGGGCCGTAGCCACACACTCACCTCGCCGTTGACCGTCCACTCATGTTCCTTTTGAAACTTTTCGGCCTCGGTTGCAAGTCTCTAAAAAGAAAGTGGGGGGAGAGGGGGAAGATGGTTTTACAGATTTATTTGAGGAAAAGACAACTGTCAAAGATGCGATCATGAAATTAATGAAATGTTAAATTTGATGTCATGAACCCTGAACTTGGCCACAAATTCAAGAGACTGCACTCAATATCTGGCATTTGTAAGAACCAGTGACGGCAGTGTTGCTCTAAAATTAGACACCCACATATTCAATCTTTCCCCAGATCCTAATGACTAGGTTAATGGGTTTATAATGGACCCAGTTTTTAATCTGTACCTGGTCCAGAAATGCACTGTACTATTAATTTCCCCAGGGAAATATGAAATCTATCTCTTCCTTTTGATATGCACGGCTCTAAGGGCATGAAGTCATGCAGAAAGAGAAGAAATCTGACGAAGAAACAAGTTTACTGATGATATGAGAAGGAGGGGATTAATTTAGTGAATTACTGATATAGTTTTTGCTTTGAAATTAAGGCAATCACAGCAATCAAAGTGGTTTTGATTGCTGTGCCTCAATGTAAAATGCACTTTGGAATATAGCTGCCACATTTGGCCTAAGTATAAAAACTTAAAAAAAAAAAAAAGCAACAATTAATTATCTATAGATAGAAATTGGGATATTTTTCCTTGAATAAAATGAGAATTGATTTAACTTTGATTCGGCAGGTCAGGCAAGAAAGTGGAAATCATTACCAGCCTGGAAAAACCTGATCATAAACAAAACAAAAAATATATTCTTTTACTGACATTTTAATTTTACGTATTACGACTTTAAATTTAATTACTTGAGCATATTTTAAATTACATAACTTAATCGCAGTCCTACAAATATCTTTTTCCTATATGTAGATCTATCAAGATTTATTTTCATTTTTTTGGCTAAAACCGAGTTCCTCACTGAATCGTCTATTGGCTCAGAGGCAACTGCCAATGCAGATTTTCCTTCCCGTTCCCCAAAGATCTGGCTTGACATCATTTCACATCTCACAGCACATGCTGAGGGCCGATGCTATTGTCATTTGAAATCAGGTTAGCTCAAAAACAATCTCAGCTTCATTTCTCTTTACATTTGTGTTATTGGTACACATATGGCCAATGTGCTTTCTCCTGTCCTGCAGGGGGAGCGGGAGGGAAATCCATAACTGTAACCACACAAAAGCTTGTATAATCTTTTGAGAAAGATGTGTGCTGACAGTTGGGGTCATGGTGGTCTTTTTACTGGACATATATAAGCATATGATGCCTTCGAGTTGCAGCAACATAATGCGAGTTGTGTTTTCACTTTCCTGTCGAGCTCAAGACTAATTCAAAGACAAACAATTGATTTGTATTGAGGAATCGGTTAAAATTGATATAGAAATAAAACAATCCATTTCCAAATTTAATTTGGGAGTACAAAGAAATTCATCGGCAAGTTTTCTTGATATATCAACTCGCGATCAAACAAATCAAATCATATTCAAAAAAGGGCCTTACTTTGCAAACCACTTGCTTTTTGAAAAAAAAAAAAAAAGTGTTACTAAGCTACACATGATGCCGCCCTATTTGCATCCTTCTTTGAATAGCTTAGTTGTAATTATGCATTCCTGTACACTCAACAAGGGGCAGAAAAACTGGAGTATTTCATGCAAGAAATGATGTTCGTCCACAAATCTCCGTTAGCTTTTGGCTATCAAGTAGCATTTCACTGACACGTTTAAAGAATCAACAAGAATACGTTTTCCTCCACTCTGGTGTGCCCATCTACCAACATAAGTTCACTGTTTTTTTTTACTCAAAGTGAATTCTCTGCAGATAGAAAATTTACAGGACCTACTGGCCTCATCGTCGACACACCTCAGCTCACAGAGCTGTCATCTCACATTTCAAGCACCTGTTCACGCATACACACACACACCTGGGCACTAATTTGTGCAACCACACACGCCGACAGAAACAGATGCACATTAATGAGGAACTGAGCGGCAGATGAAAAGGTTTAGAGGTCAAAGGCCAGCATCTGGTTCAGTTTCTGTCACTTTCTAGCTACTCCATTAAGTCCATTCCAGTGTTTTACAGAGTTTCCACCTGAGAGAGCCACATGAACCAAAAGGACATGTGTAATACAAATAATGACGAAAGTACTTAATAGGTAAAATTCTTAAAACTAGCAGCAAAAGGCAGAGCTTTCTATAAAGTGCATATTAAGAGATTACAACGTTACAAACGGGTGTTGATCTATGCCTGGTTTATGCTGTGCAATTTTATGCCCAAGATCCATCCATCAGTCCATCTATTGCTCCTCTGAGATCGGGTCATGGAGGCAGCGCGTCCAGAACTAGGTCTAAAGAAATCAGATCACGAGAGCTAAGAGGTCAGGGAGGAAAATCCTGCCCTCTCCATTCTGGAAAACCCCAGAAGTCCTTCCCACCCCAGAAGGAAAATAAATAGCTTGTCTCAGAAGTTGTGGTTTCTTTTCTAATCCATCTTTAGAGGTTGATTGGAAAACCTCTAAAAGGGAGGGGTTCATCGTGGTNAGAGACCCAACCCACCTCAACTGACTCCTGTCAATCAGGAGGATCAGCTGGTCTACTTATGGCTCCCACCAGATGATGCACGATCCTGATCTCACCGTATTTAGTAAGCTCATTTCAGCCACTTGCATAGACTAATTTCGTAGAGCAATTCCTCGGTGTAGACGATGGTAGACGCTGCTACTGGCCTCGACGGTTTTAGGGACACTGGTGGTGCCAAATCATGTGTGAACTCACTCCAAGCCAGCGTAAACCCTCCTGTGTATTTACTACATTTTCTTTTTCCTAATTAGTTTTACCTTAATTAGCATCTTGTTAGAGGTTAACTGATTCCTTGTAATGATCAAAAGCAACTTTTGCCACGTCTTGAAGGTAAGCCATTTGTCTAATTAGATTTTTTTTTTTTTTCATTTGAATAATGGATGAATGGGGTGAATTTTGAAGAAACATCTCAGCTAACAAGACGATTTCAGATAAAAAAAAAAAATCACAGGGACAATACACGTTCTTCTGACGTAGAAACACTCCAGCTCCTGTGATTTTCATATTGTGTAAAGCGCCACACTCGGGGTACTGTATAAAAAACACACACACACACCATCCCATCACCCTGATTAGAGCGTCTAGTCCTGCCAGGAGAGAACGCATACACACGCAAACACGCAGACACACCTGCCACCCCACTGATATGCAGGGAGGAATGGGAGAGCAGAGGAAACATGAGCATCTGCTGTTGTGACTGGCACCACTTTAGTCAGATCTATCCTGCTCAGCCCATGGGGAGCTGGGAGGGAAGTACTGAGAAAAAGGGGGATGGGGGGGGGGAAGAAAAGAGAAACAAAGGCGCACACACAATGGAAACAGAAGGACAACAACTGTACAGTAAGTACAAGAAAGAAGCATTAAGACATGCTGGCTTTGCAGAACGCCACTTGTTAGAAACGGGTGTTGGTTTGAAGATCTGCCATCATGCCCTGGTTTGACAACTCATCCCTTCCTCAGCAAGCAGACCGTGCTTTGCTGTCTGCGTGCCAGCTGGCTGCAAATGAGACCCGATAACAGCTGCACCCAGCTGGAGTGTTTACGTGGCAGCTTCGTGCACCGAAATCAACACCCAGATTGCTACTGTACAATGCATTAAATAATAATCACACCTATCCTTTGGTTTCTAAGACTCTAGATAACATTGCGACCAACTTGACATTTGAAAAACTGCTTCTTTTTTATATATATATATATAACAACAGGTGAGGGGAATCATCAATTTGCGCCAGATATTCCACCATTATCGATGCGCCCGTCATGGAAATCAAATATATTTTCAGCAAAGGAAATGAAGTGAGCAGCACAACGAACGAGCGTAATTTTGTTTGTACAAGACGAAGCACAGGTGTTCCTGTCCGCAGCTAAATGGGACTGAAAATAGCAGCGTTGAGCAAGGCGGCGAGCTCTAATAAGGGAGACATCAAACACACGCTCCCCTCTTTGTATGCACACTGTATGTCTGATAAGCATCATGTAGGAAAACAGAGATGACAAACAAAAAGCAGGTTCAGTGGAGCCACACACAGAGTCCAACAGCTGTGGCTGACAAAAGCAGCCACATACACACGCACACACACACTCCAGGAAGTGGTGACTAATGAGTCATCGGTGGCCAGAAGCACACACACAGTCACAAAATCAGCTCAATTCCTTAAGCACACATTAGTAGCAAGATTCAGATGTATGTTTTCAGAGCGTGAAACAGATAAGCTTGGGCCATAAATTATCAAACAAAACAAGAGCCTGTTGCTAGAAAAATGCCTGGTAATTGCCTGCCAAATTTACAGCGACGTGCAACTCCGCACTTTTTTATTTTGAGCAAAGCGCTAGCCAACTTGCGTCAGCCCAATTTGGCTTTTTCTCCACAATACCGATTTCAAATTTTCTTAGAGGCGCGACGTGCAATTTGGATTTTCTTTCTTTTCTGAAGACGACAAGAACGAAATGTGCTGCGAGAGGGAGGGAGAGAGGTAGAAGTTGTGAACAAAAGGTCATGCGCAGTATCAACAGAAGATATTGCTTTTACAACTGGGAGCATCTGATTAGCATAATTAAATTTGAAAGTGTGTGTCACAGAATCAGCCTAACACCTCAGATTTATGAATAACCAAAAAGGTGCCTTGAAGCAAAGTTTGTTGGTTGGTATGATTATAAAGAATAGATAATGGAAGTTCCTAGATTTGATGCATTTAAGATTCCCAAGTATGCCTCATGCCATTCCCCGAGCAAGGGGAAACTAGCTGAGACTGATTTCTGATTGGTTAATTGGTAAATTGCGAATTGAAAACATTACAATCCAATTCAAGTGGTAGCTTGAGGTCCCATTCAAAGCTTTCATAGAGTCAGTTACTTCACTAGAGATCCAAAAGTTAATAAAGGTACTTTTTCTAAAATTATGGTTCAGTATCATTTACACAGTTTGAGGATTATGAT